TCTTGTACCCAGTCTTGCATCCCTGGAATAAATCTTACATGGTCATGGTGTATGATCTTTTTAATGTATTGCTGGATCTGATTTGATAATATTTTGTTGAGGATTTTAGTATCTATGTTCATGAGGGATATTGGTCTGTAATTCTTTTTCTTTGTAGTGTCTTTATTTGATTTTGGAATTAGGCTAACACTTGGTTTGACTGAGAAGCTCAGTGGTTCAGTTGAGTCCAAGGAGCTCAGCCTGAGGTTCCCCCTCTTTCTGGGATTCAAGAATTTGAGTGACTCACATGGACTGATGTGTAGAAATGTCTATCTGTGCCAGCGGGCACCCAGGGGCTACTCAGGAACCCCACTCCGCCCCTGCCATCTGTGTGAAACCTCAGATAGCAAACACTGGCATTGGTGGGCCAGGAATGGGTGGCTCTAGGGAAAGGGTTAAGTGAGCTATGTGGTTTTGAATCACAAGTGTCTTCAGAGCTAAGATGTCACTATGGAAAAATGAAGGCATGGAAATGTGATGGTTGGAAACACAGGGTCTTTCCACTCTGCCCCACTTGTCAGCAGGTGTTGGAAATAACCCACCCTTTGGGCCTGATGCAGCTGGACGGCTTTGTCTCTGACCTATGGCCAGATCTCCGGAATAACTGTAGAAACTTGGCCTCCCCTGTCAAGCTATAGCAGAAGATTTAATAGCACTCACAGATTTATGCTGGCCGCTGTAATCAAATTCAGAGCCAAGGCGCAGCCAGCCTTGGGGAGGTTTCTTGATGTTCCTTGGCTCCTAATAACATTGTCTCCTCCTTCCTCTCTATTTACCATATACCATTTGGTCAAATTAAAACTTGAAGTCAAGAAAGCAGATGCCTTCCTCTAGATAAGGTCCAAAAAAATTCCCTTGTGGGAGGAAAGAGGAATGGACCTGTCTCCTTGAATCTGTGCACAGAGGAGTCACTTTTGATATATGATTTACCAAAATAATGACCAATAAGGGATGGTTTTCTTTCATCCTGCAGCTGGGACAGACTTTTCCTCCTCAAAGCATTTCTACAAGGGGCAGAAGAGAATGACTTTCTCATGTTTTTTTTATTTTATTTTATTTATTTTTGTGGAGAATCAATTACCTGCTTGTGGTCTCCCTAATGAGTGGCTCCTTCAGGCAATGTCAGTGTCCTAGCTATGTGCAGCTACAGGGCCTCCAGATATTTGCCAACAAAGGTGTTGGACCAATCCACCCCCAATCCTTACCTTTGTGAAGGTATCCTTTGTCTCTCTGTTGCATACTTAAAGTTATTTTATTCTTTTTTATTATGAAAAAAATTTTAAACATTCAAAAAAAAAAGTGGAAAGAATTGTCCATGGAACACCACTGTTAAGGACTGAATTGTGTACTGCCCCAAATCCAAAATTTGAAGCCCTAACCCCAATACTTCAATGTGGCTATATTTGGAGATGAGACCTTTAAAGAGCTGATGAGGTTAAATGAGGACATAAGGGTGGGCCCTAATCCAATAGGACTAGTGTCCTTAGAAGAGGAAATTTGGACAGTAAAACCAGGGATGTGTAAAGAGGAGACCATGTGAGGACACAGTTAGAAGGCAGCCATCTGCAAGCCAAGGAGAGAGAGAGGCCTCAGAAAAAAAAAACAAAAAACCCTTTAAACACCTTAATTTGCACTGCCAGCTTTCAGAAGTGTTAAAAATAAAATACTGTTGTTTAACATGTTCTCATCCCCCTGGTACAATATGCCCACTGCATGGATTCTATAGTCATTACCATTTTGCTATATTTATTCTATCATATATTTGTTTACCCATCCATCCTATTTTTTTGACGGATTTCAAAATGAGTTGCAGATCCTTTGCTCATTTTGAAGACTAAACTACTCCATGGAGAGGGTAAATGCACATTTGATTGAAGGCCAGTAGCACATATGCCTGATCCCTCTTTGTGGCCTGGATACTGAGGGAGGCAACTACAATCCTACAATGTGAGTTTACAAACCAAGAGACGGGGACCCAAAGACGAATCGCTGTAAGGCTTGATTAGGAAGACATGGAACTGGGTGGGTTTTGGTAAACTCCTCCAACTTCGGTTGGTGGAGGCCAAGGCTGCCATTTGTGCTGAGGCTCTCTACGCATTCTCTTTGGCTGGTGGGAGGGAGGTCACTACTTCATGCTGATAACCAAGTCTTTAGAAGTCTCCAGGGTTAGACATCTGGATTTAATCCTGACTTAACCTACTGGCTGTGTGTGTGTCCTAAATCTCTGAGCCTTGTCTGAAAATGAAGATGATAGTGCTAATACGTACTTGTGGGTTGCTGTAGAGATCAGAAGGACAGTGAATACTTACAGAATGCTTTCCATCACTGACACCTCAATACTGTAGGGGGATACTGTCTGCTGGGATTGCAAGCACCCACAATTTAGTGACTTGATCTAATCAAAATCTCCTCACTTAGCTGTTCAGTGTCCCTGTTATAGGGATCTCCTCATTGGGATTCTCTCTCCACTGACCTAACAGGATTCTTGCTAAAACTGGACTTTGCAAGGATAGGCATGAAAGCCAAGTTCAAAGCTTTGTTGAGAGCCTGGCCAACATTTAGTCAAGGAGAGAGTCTTTGTCAGTGGGAAGGTAAAACTCATGTGCTTCAACTTACTCCTGTGCCCACCTAGGTTTGGGTAGGATAGTCAACTTGAGATGCCCTGGGGCTGGTAGGAGCCCAGGCTCTGTCCCCAAAATTCAGATGGTTTTGCCTCGCACTGGGAACTCCAGGCCCTTGGGAAGGGTGTGGGCTCTCCATGCCACACAGTCTCCCTGCTCAGCCAGGGTAGGAGACACAGTAGGGGAAGATGCAAGGCAGGCTTTGCTTTGGTGAGGATCAGCAGGAAACAGGCCTGCATGTGCCAACAGTGGGGACAGAAGTTTCTGGAACAGTGCCCAGGGAGGTGGAATTCCAGAAGTGGTCTTCTGACCTGGTTGATAAATACCAGAGCTGCAATTAAGACAAAATACTGTGAATCTGACACCTGCTGACAGCTGCAGGAAGATCCGGAAACTTTTATTATGAATTATATTTGCAGGCAGCCCTGTTATGGTGAGCTGGTGCTTGGGCCAAGGAACCTGAAGGAACTCAACAGGCCAGCTGCCTCGAGGGCAAGAGTTGCCCTCCAAGGAAGAATGGGGGAAAGTGTGAACACAACAAGTTTCTGACCACACCAGGGCTGGAGACCAGGATTCCTTATCCCAAGCTGGCTGGAGGGCAGTTAATAGTCGTCAAGCATTTGACTTAAGGAAATTCAACTGTTAGTGCTTTGAGAAGCACAAGTCAGAGAATGAGACAAAGTTAGAGATAGGGAGACACAGAGACAGAGCGTGAGGTGAGACAGGAAAGTTGCAGAAGTCAGAGAGTTGTAGAAAAAAAAACAGAAAGAGACATTCATGAGCCTAAGTTATTAGGTTCCAAATAGAGGTTTGAGCATCTGCAGGGTTGGAAAGGACCTCAGAGGCCATTTAGTTCAGTAGCCAACATTTTTATAATGATGGAACAAAGGTTGAGTTGAGTGGTTTGCTTGTGTAAACTCTTCAAGGAAAACTTCAATGCCAAATGGCAAAAATAAATAAATAAATAAATAAATAAATAAATAAATAAGATTTTTGTTACTAAAAGTGGCAAAACTTCTATTTCTAAGGTTTTGTGTGTTTTTTTAAATTAGGATTGAAAAATGAGGAGCTGCAAGAATATAACCCAGCATGGGGGGATTTGAGAAAATGTGAAGCAGATACTTCTGCAACTGTCTGAGATTCAAGATGGAGCACCTCATGCCCTCTGTGCTACTCTCTCTAATGTTTTAGGCTGCGTACTTCTGAGAAATGACCCAGAGAAGGAAAAGAGCCTAACCCTTTCTTCCCTCACTCTTCCCATCTTGTTACTATCAAATCTCTGATTTCAAAGCTTAGCTCAAATGCCATCTCTTCCAGGAAGCTTTTCTTGATTTCCCTCTTGAATTCTCTGCACCAACTGGTACTCATCACTCCCTCCTGTTAGTCCCCTGTAGATACCAGCTCCAAGTTAGCCTTTTTCCTTTGCCCATCTTGTATAATAACTATCTTTGAACATATTTATAAAAGAGCTCCTATTCTATGCCAGGAACTCCAAAGGCCTTAGCTTTAATCCTCACAGCAAAGCAGCAGGTATGTTTCATTATACCCACTTTACAGAGAAGAGAGCTGAGATGCAGAGCGGGTGATCATTTCCTCAAAGTCTAAGTGGCAAAGCCAGGACTCCAGCCCAGGGCCTATACTCTTTCCACAACACTGAACAAGGGCAGGATCTGTGTCTAATCTTTGTGTCTTGTACACATTTGGTACTCAGGGTGTGTTTCTGAATGAATGAAAGAGTAAATGTATGAATGAATACAAGAATTGCCCTTCCTTTCAAGGCTATATCTCAGAGGTCAGCAAACTACAGCCTGGGTTCTAAATCCAGCTGGTCTCCTATTTTTATGAGTGAAAGTTTTATCACCAGCACAGCCATACCCATTCCTTCATATATTGTACATATGGCCACTTTTCATGTACAACATGAGTTATAACAGAGGCTATGTGACCCATGGAACCTAAACTACTTTCTATCTGCCCCCCTTCCAGAAAAAGTTACTGACTTCTGCTATGGTCTCTACTAAGCTGGTTAAAACAACAGTGCTTATTGCTAAATACTAATAATCTTATCTTTATGATTTGTAATAGTGTTTGTGTGTGTGTGTGTGTGTATACATGTGTGTGTGTGTGTGCATGCTTGTGCATTGTTTACATGTATCTTATATATGCTCCTTTATTATTTTACAGGCAGGTTTCATCTAAAAAGGTTTACCTCACATGCCTTTTTGAAATTTATTTATTTATTTACTTATTTATTTAAGTTTACCTTGGTTGACAGCACCTTGGCATAGACATGATGAAGACCAAGGGACCCTGGAACCCAAGACCTTCCCTGAAGCAGAGGAGGGCAGACTCCCCGGGCAATGGCAATGGGTGTGGATTTTGAAGCTTGCCAGCACAGTATTATCACGGCAGTGTTTGAGCTGAAGGAAAAGCAGCCTGTGTGATCCATTACACCCTGTTTCATCTCTGCTCCCAGTGGCAATCAGTATCCCAGGCTCCCAACCTCACCTCCTCCCCTGGGCCAAGAGCACTCTTTCTCTCCAGGCCGCCCCCTAGTGCAGCCTCCTGAGAGGCCAGCACACTGCTTACCGTTCCTGCGTTCCTGCTCCCGGGAGCTCAGCACTGGCCTCTGGACCGTTGGCATCTGGACCAGGAGCAGCACCAAAGCAGGGATTGGCCAACTCCCACCCCAAGTGCCCAGCAGGCCAGGCACTGGGACCTCTCGGGGGTGTGCCAGATCTCAGCCTGTCGCCAGCATGTGCTCCCTGGCCAGTCTGCCTTTGGCCTTGCCCACAATGACAGGCCCATCACTCAGCCTCACTCATCTTCTCACCATCTCAGGACTGCTCTGTTACTCAGCTTGCTGCTTGGGTGAGTTGTGAGAGAGAAAGAGAGAGAGATTGTGTGTCTGTGTGTATGGCATGCATGTGCAGTTACATGTGTGTATGCATTGTTTTGGAAAAAAATACTCTCAGAAAGCATTGTTTTGGGAGCCTGCAGCAGCCTTTAAACCCTAAACTTCTCAGCCAGTGTTGGAATCTCAACCTAAAGGGTTTGACAGTGGAGTTGGGTGGTGGTGGGGGGGGGGGTTGGCATATATGTGCAGTGTGTGTGTGTGTGTGTGTGTGTGTGTGTGTGTGTGCGCGCACATGCGCGCGCACTTGTGCCCCTCTCTTGACCTTGACTTCAGAGAGGCAGGCTGGCAGCTGCTGTTGCCTTGGCTCTGGAGTAACATTGTGTTCTGTGGTCTGGGGCCAGTCCTTGTTTGGGGGGCCTAGAAGCTCTCATTTGGGGGCCCTAGAAGCTCTCCGTCATGCTCCCCTTGACTGGCCTGGGTCATGCTGCTCACCACCCCAGGGGCTGGAGCCACCAAATTGCCCAATTGTTGTGGGTTCTGTCATCACCTTTCCCCCACACCTGCTCAGGAATAAATTGGAAGATGGAAAATTCTTATATGGTCTTTCAGAGAGGTTCAAATACCTTCTACTTTTAGGATCAGAATTTGTTTCAAGGTGTATGTAGTATTGGTGGGGATTGAAGGAAAATTTTAGGGTGACATCTTCTCTGGAATATGTGAATTGGGGAAAACCAGGCAAATTGCAGCCAGAAAAAAATGAGAACTTGATTGTAGCTGAGTCATCTTATTCAGGGTCCAAACACTTAGTGATGCTGCACTCATCACCTTTCCTCTCCTCTTCATGGGCTCCTCAAAAAGGCAGGGGAAGGCCCAAAAGCTGGAGGAGGAGGGGAAAAAGGAGAAGGAGGAGGAAGAGGAGAAGGAGGAGGAGGGGGAAGGGGGGGGGAGGAGGAGGAGGAGGAGGGGGAAGAGGGGGGGGAGGAGGAGGAGGATGAAGGTGAATGGCTCACCAACTGCACAAACAGTTGCAGAATAGTTAGCATGTGGCTGCATTTGTCATTTTTCTCCTTTGGTGGCTTCTAATGACACTTTGCTTGATTTGAGGGAGTGCTTCTCGATATATAAAGGAGGCAGAAACAGAAAGGGCTGTTTGTAGTACCCTAGTCATGGGCTGGACTTGTGAGTGGGAGATCCAGATGGACACGGTGTTGATCCTGGTGTCAGGTGCATAAAAAGGACTTGGAAGATGGTTTGGGCCAAGCTTCTTGTGGTCCAGGTGGGGAAACCGAATCTCAGATGAAAAAGGGAGCTGTGCCATGTCACAGGGTCACTTGCATCCGGACTCACACTCTTTGATCCAAGTCCCTGTCTTTCCAAGAGTAAGTTGAAGTGAGTCACTTTCCAAGGATGTGCCCAGAGTCAAGAGGGTATTGAGTCCAAAGGGTAAAGCCAGCATCAACCACAGCAAAACAACCTCAATCATTTGTTCGAACCCCACCCCACATTGGACTCGGCATATTTCTGCCTGTGATTTGGCACTGCCGAGGCCACGCACAACATGACTTCGGTGCCTTTGAGACAGGGCAGGTGGTCCTAAAATTCGGTCATTGTGGGCATTTCCAAGGCAGCTGGCAGGGGCTGAGCCACATGGTGCAGACAGGTTTTTCCTCCCCATGCACATATACTCAGGGTTTTTCCATCGTAGCAGAGCCGGCTAGAGCTTTTCCAGCCTGGACCCTGAGCTCAGACATGATTCCGTGGAGGCAGCATAGTCCAGAGAGAGATCCACAGGCCACTCAGATGACACCAAAATAGACATGTGAAGTCCCGGCTTAGTTGTCTGAGAAGAGGCGGGGGGGGGGGGGGGGGGGGCGCAAGCTGTTCCCAAACACGTCCACCTGATGGAAATATTCTGAGTTGGAATGAGCTGTAAATAAACTAGACTGTGCTAAAAACAAACATCTCCAGGGAGTTTGGGGGAGGGGGCAGAAATAGATGGTCTTCACCTGCTGAAAATGAAATAGGTCAGTGGGGGGAAACGGATAGGGGGGTGGTGTGAACCATGCAGATGCCTCTGCAGGAAAAGCAACCAATAATTTATGTTCACTGAAGAGTTCTCCGGCTTCCAGGAAGAAATGAGAGGTGATTGCTGTAAGCAATGCAGGGTCTTTCATCAGTGGAAGGTCACACAGGGAGACATTGCCGGCCATGTATGATCTGCAGAAATAAATGGTCAGGAGTGCATGTGAGCCACGGGAACCTGCCAGCTCCCCAGGTGGTTGCTGCTGGGAGGGGCTTTGTGCATCCTTAGCCCTCAGCTTTCTGCTGAGGCCAAGGGGAGGCAAAGGAGGCACTGCAGCTGGGGGACCCTGAGAGGGTTCTTGCATGCTGGTGGGTGTCAGCCACCCTCCTGCACACACCTGAGACGGAGTGGATAAAAGGGAAGCTGCCCACTCCTGGCTTTAGGGAAGAAAATAGAAGAGTAATACCGTTGTCATTAATGTCAAGTTTTATAATAACATCGCTGTATGAGAGCACTGAGAAAAAGAAAAGCAGCCCAGGACAGCTGGAGCAGGCCTGCTACTCAGAGCCAGGCCACGCGCTCTCCCGTTGAATGTAAACCATCTCACAGAACATCAGACAAGGTCACTCTGCACCTGTAACGGATCAAAAAAATAAGGCCACTCGGTCCCCATGTCAGACACAGACAAAATAAGACTATCAACCAGCCACAAAATGACCCACTGTCCCTCTATGCTTGCTAATGTGAGTGACTACTGCATCAGTCTCCCTCCCTCCTCTTCCTCTAGCTAAGAATTAAGATAGTCATAGACATGACCTGTTACCAGGATGCTCCCTCATTCCCCCTGGAGAGTGTGCCCCATCTTTGCAATGAGTCAGTAAAGACAGCTGTGTTCAGCTACAGGTGTGTTCCTGGTGGTTTTTTGGATGAAGGGCATTGGTAATGCCAATCTCAGGTAGTTGCTATTCTTCTTAGCTCCTTTGCTATTCTTCTTAACTCCTTATCTTTATTTCCACACACATTGGAGACATAGTGTAGAAAGCTAGGGGAAGGATTCCGGAACCAGACTGATGGGTTCCAATCTGGCTCTGTCGCTTCCTAGTTGTCAGACCTTGGGCAATTACTTCACCTCTTTGCCTCATTTAAGTGATCTGTAAAATGGGGATGATGAGATGGTGATGATAATAATAATAGTACTTAACTCTGAGGTTTGCATGAGGATCAGGAAATTGTATATGTGTGAAGCATTTAAATGGTGCCTGGCATGTCATAAGTGGTTTTTAAAAAAATCTGTTAATCAAACATTTGAGGAATATCTAGGGTATGCTAGATACTGTTCTAGACCATGAGGATGAAAATGGCTTCTGTCCTCTGGGAAAGCACAGGTTAGTCAGAGAGATACAAGGAAACAGATTCACCCATGGATAAAGGTTAATATAGGAGTGAACCCAAAGAAAAGCATAGCAGGATCCCTCAGCCTTAGCCTGGGAAGTCAAGGAAAGCTTCCTGGTGGAGGCAGCTCCTGACAATTGTAGATGTGCAGTAAGTCTCCAGGATGTGAGAGGAGAAGGTGGGATATGAGCAGAAGGGTCTTGGCAGCTGCTCAAGCTTCACAAGCTTTACCATCAGGTCAGGGGCACAATTTAGGCATCTTTCTGCCCTCCCCCTCCCAAGGGCTAACCAAGTGTCTGGCAAAGCATGTGCTCAAATTAACAAATGTTTAACACAAAATTTAGAAGATTTCCCTACAAACTAGTGCTCCCTCAAACTTTTCCTTTTCATACTCTGACCACTGTTACCCTGGGTCCCCTGCAACATCAAAAACACCCTTGATTGTTCCCCCTCTTTCACTCCTACACCAGCCCTGGTTTTCTTCCCCTCAGTAACGTGGACATCAAGGGATTCCATGTGACAATGAAGCTCTGAGGGTCCAGGGCCCTCTCTTCTCTTTTCTTTGCACCCATGTATTGAGACATTTAACTGTAACTCTCTAGTGAGCATGGGTGACACAGAATGTGTGGGTAGAGTCTGGAGTCAAATATGTGTTTTAAACCATGGCTCCTGGTCTTTTGTAATCAATGCTACCTCCAGCCCTGGCTGCCTCCCTCTCTGAACGCTTCCTCCCGAACACAATATCAAAGTCATTCACAATGACTTCCTTCTCCCCAACTACTGGGGGCACATATGAGTCTGTTTAACTTTGAATTCCTTGCCCCATCTACAAAGTGTCAAGTCACTTCCTGAAGAAGGAGAAATGGACCTTATAATAGTCAGTGTCCATGCCGTTTGCTTATCTTACACATGTCATCTCTTGAAGGCCAAGGGAGGCCTATGTCCAATAGCAAACTGGAGGTGTGCTCATATCTAACAGGTTGGGGATCAGATTGGGAGGTCTGGGGTGGCAGTGTGGGTCTCCTTGGGCACTACAGACATGACAGGGGCCCTAGCCCTGGCCCAATGCTAATGAGCAGCAGTTTTCTCTAAACAGCCCTTCCTGGCCTGGATCAGAAGAAGCGTGGCAGCCACAAAACATGCTGCCTGCTGACACCTCCTCCACCGCCCCTGTTCCCACCACCTTTCTTCAGAGAAGGCCGAAGTCCGGTGAGTACCTTAAGACATGTGCAGGAACAGAAACGGGGCTCCTCACTGCCCATCACCTCACCCCACTTCCTCCAGAATCTTCTCTCATGCAGCAGGTTGAGCTGGGAAGGGATATTTTCCAGCTTCTGGTGATGTCCATTCTTCCTCTGTCTTCACTAAGTTATGGAGAGGATTCTTCTCAGCAGGGAACTGAATTTGGCCAAGTGTCCCCTCCCTCTCTTTGAAAACAATGAGGTGAATGGATGACTTTCTAGGCTCCTGTCAGCTGCTCAGATATTCCCTTCCATGGCCTGTCTCAGACATAGACTGTTTCTGTGAGGTGACGCAGGAGATGGCCCTCCTGTAGCCAAACTGAGGTGTGAGAAGGAATAGAACTTTAAAAGAGCAAAAAAGGTGAAAGAAAAAGCAGGATGTGGGGAGCTGACCTAGAAGACAACAGGCGGGGACTTAGAGTCTCAGATATTTCCAGAAGCTCTTCGACTTGTACTGTCCAATACTGCCACTAGCCGTATGGCTATTGAGTTAAGCTGTGCATATAAAATACCCACAGAATTGTGAGACTTCATATGAAAAGAAGACTGTAAAATATCTCATTAGTAATTTTTAAATATTGCATATGTGTTATAATGCTATTTGGGGTGGACTGGGTTAAATAAAATATATTAAAAATTAATTTCACTTGTTTTCTTTTTTTAATGTGGCTACCAAAAGAAAGTTAAAACTGTAGATGTGGTTTGCATTGGTAGCTCACATTTTATTTCCTTTGGACAGTGCTGTCCCAGACATTGGATAGAGCCCCCCAAAATGAGCCTCCTAACTCCACCATTGTAGCTCTGTAATCCATTCAAGCCAGGTGTGTCTCAAGAGCAGATGAGAGAACAGACACTGGTGGTCAGGAAGGTCATCTAAGGATACCCATTGGGGTGTAAGAGAAGTGCCAGTCTATGAAGCAGGTCTGTGTCAAGGGTGGTGACCCTTCTCTATCCCCCAAGTCTGACCTATAACCCCATATTATAGCTTCTCTCCCCAGACATGAAGAATCTCATCCTGGAACTGAAGACCACGCAGTCCCCGTGTGTCCAAGGATCGCTTGGCTCCCCTGGGCCTCCTGGTCCCCAGGTAGGCGCATTCCATCAGACCTTTTCTCCTCTCCAGCTGTCTTCTGTTTAGAGAATTGAAGCCTTGTAGAGATTCCCATTTTTAATGTGATATGGGGGCTGTTTTTCCTTCTCTGGCTCACCTCCAGCTCCAGAGCCACATGAATAGAATACTGGTTCTTTAGGTGAATTCTGGCCTCTCAGTTTTAGTTTTCTCTTTCATGCAATGAGGATAATAATTGTCCCTGCAGTACTGGATTTAGGGTGGTGATAAAGTAGTAGCCTTGTGAGGTGGTTGATGGATTTCCTCTCTGCTGTATGGAGGAATTTGGAAACAGTTAACCAGCTGATCCTTCCATGAACGCATGAGCAGAAAGCAACTGTATTCTGCCGTAGGTGTGCCAAGCCTTAGTGCAATGGTGCTAGAGTCCCTGAGCTGGAGTCAACACCATGGCTGGGAAACTGAACAAAAATCATTATTTACTTGCCCACATTCTTAATGTCTTTTGCTGCACCTGATACCCATAGATCCACCATGGGAATCTCTAAATCTCTGCTTCTGTGTGCAAAGTGTTAACTTTACTCTTGTCAGCACCCAGGGAAGCTTAGTAAAAGCAACTGAAAAGACAGGAGAGGAGTGAAGCCTCTTGTTTTCAGCAAACAGCATTTCTTCAAATATCTTCAGTTGCTCTTGCCAAGCACTCTGGATATTCCAGGCAATCCAAGAATTCCAGGGAGAAAATTAAACTCACACAGAGTAGACTGGAGCATTGCAGCCTTTGAACCATTGAAAACACAGTTCAGAGAAGCTAGAAGAGGGGAATCACAGAGAAGGAGACCGGGCTGGCATGCATGAGAGGGTCTTTCATGGGGTTTCTGGAGCCCCAATTCTGCATAGAGAGTGAGGCTGCTGTCGGAGTGTTCCAAGAGGATTCCCTCGGTCCAGCCTCCCTCACCTCGGTCCTTGGTAATCCCAGCCAGTTTTATTGTATTCTTGGTCTGATGTATACTTTCTTTGTTTCTTGGTTGTGTAGGGTCCACCGGGGCATCCAGGCAAGACAGGACCAAAGGGAGAAAAGGTATGAGCCACTACTCTCTTCCACCGACCTCTCATTGGTAATTCCAGCTTGTTTCCTGGGGATGCCACTTAACATTTCCTGGCTGAGATCTCAAGGCATGTGCTAATTCTGCCTTAGTGAAGGAGGATGGGCTCCATGAGGACGGGCTGCTGCTGCAGGTGTGGGATCCCGCCAGTGTATTTTGGCTTGGCCCACTGCCATAGCAGGGGTGCTGTGAGTGGCCAAGCCACCAAGCCACATGGGCATACCAAATCATCAGCCCTACTAAGCCCTTTGCTTCCAGAACTTCTCTTCCAAAGCAGCCTCCAATTACCTGCCTTTTCCACCCACAGGGGGAGCTTGGCCGACCAGGAAGGAAGGTATGGTCCATGTTGTCAGCGTTACATGGCAACTGTATTCCGTGTGTGTGTGTGTGTGTGTGTGTGTGTGTGTGTGTGTGTGTATGTGCACACCTTGGGGTGGGGAACCAGTGGTACACTACTGCGACCTCCAACCCATTGGACAGTGATGGCACCACCATCCTGATGATGATAACAGCACCTTTGCTGTTTCTGCCTACTCCTTCGTTTGGGAGCTGGAGCCAGCTACTGCCAGGCATTTGGACTTCTTCCAGAGGCTGCCAAGCACAGCCAGATTTCCCACAGCTTCAGAGCATCTCATCCTGCCTTCCATCAGAGAAACCCTCCAAGGCCCCAACCAGTGGCACAAAATGACTCTCACTGTCTATTAGATTAAACCACAATAAAGTGCCAAACAGACAGAAACAAAAGCTTTTGCTGTAAATAATTTGGAGTTACTTAAGGTCACAGGGACTCTGAGTGAACCAAACACATGTTATCAAGACTCTCATTACAGTCAGGAAGAAGAAAACGAGCAGCCATTCACTGTGGTCAATGGATGCTGGTGCTGAAATTGTAGGTCTTGATAATAGAAGTAGGTACAAAACTTTGGCCAAGAAAGATGATTCTCAATATAAATTACTATTTTTTGGTTGAATGCTTTATTCAAATAGTTTCACTCAAACAGACCTTTGGGAGGTAAATTTACATCCCTTTAGGGTAGGGGTGTCGAACTCAATCAGAGAAGGGGCCAAAATCTAAAATCCAGCCTAAATCGCGGGCCGAATGGTTTACTGAACAGTCATAAACTGTCATTGTGATGGAAACGCAGCGGAGTGCAGTGATGACAGCGCGGTGCGGGCCACATTGCAAGGCCTGGCGGGACGGATTTGGTCCATGGGCCTTGTGTTTGACACATGTGCTTTAGGGCATGGATGACAACTCCAACCAAGGCACAGGGGTTGTCCAAACTGTTGGGCCAGAAAAGAATCTGGAATGGTTTCCATGCTCAGAACTAAGGAAGGCCATGATTCATTAGTGATGTGTGCCATGGATGTGGAAGGCAAGAGCAGAAATTTGTACACATGCAGCACTTCGGGTTTCTTTTTGTTTGTTTATTTCTTTTCATTTATTTCAGAGAGAGAAAGGGAGAGGGATAGAGAGATAGAAACATCAATGGTGAGAGAGAATCAATTAGCTGCCTCCTGCATGCCGCTACTAAAGGTGGAGCACAAAATTCAAACATATATCCTAACTAAGAATGGAACTGGAACCTCCTGATTCATGGGTCGATGCTCAACCATTAAGCCACACCAGCTGGGCCACAGGCATTTGTGATCCCTGGTTAAGGGCCTGAGCCTTCTACATCTCTAGCTAGGCACACTAAAATTAGCCAGTGGGTTCAAAGGTCAAGGCTTTTTTTTTTTTTTTTTCAGGGCTTACTCTTCCATAGCCTCTGGCTTTAGGTTGAGTTCCTTAGAAGCAGTGACAGAGATGGCACATGCCATGTGCAAGTGAGTTGGTTATTAAGGGAGCTCTTTCAAGAGGAGTCCGAGGACAGGGGCATCCAGATAGGGTGGGGAAGAAGTGCAATGTGGGAGTGGTATCAGGTGATGCCCAGCTTCAGCCTGATCCCTGGGAAGCTGTGGAGTAAGAATTGCACCACAGAGTATCTTGCCTTGAGATAAGGGAGCCAGGCTATTGGCTACAGGGAGGGGACATCCATAAATCACTGTATAGATCCAGTTGCCCACAGAAACTCCACAGTTGCAGACTGCAGGAATGAGTTATTACAGCAAGGAAGGTAGCCCCTAGGGGATGATCACACTGAGCAAGTGGAAAAGATCCGGAGGGAGAACCAATAGCATTTGCTACTGCTTCCCAAACATAACCCTATGCCCTTTACATCCCACTCTTGTGAGAACCTGTTGGAATGCAGGGGACAGTTGGGTGGGTGGAGGTGATAAAGATCGAAAAACCAAGAAGTTCAGAATCCCTTCTCTACCGCCTTTTATTTCTTTAGTAGAATATATTGTGTGTTAACACAGTGTCACACTAAGGGTTTTCACTTGTACCTAAGTGACCCAACTTTTTGGCTATAATTTTTGGAGATGAGGGTCCTGAGGCTCTGCTCTAGAGGCCTCATACTACTCCGGGCCCCAGAGACAAATCCTGTTTCCTGGAAGGAGAGAAACAAATCCAATTTTCCCGACTTTTGTTCTTTGACTTTAAAGGGTAGACCTGGCCCCCCGGGTGTTCCTGGTATGCCTGGGCCCATCGGCTGGCCTGGACCTGAAGGACCCAGGGTAAGTGTGGTGCAATCTCGGGGCTCATGTGGTATCGGAATATGAGGGAGAAGACGGCGGCTCCCTGGCCCCTGGCACACAGTGAGTGACACTCACGTCCTCAAGAGGGGGTGGTAGAAAAGAGCATAAGGACTGTCCATAGGCCCCCAAATATTTCCTCCTTCACTTGGACTGCAAGACCTCATTCTAAAGCTCTGCTCCTGTAGGGGGAGAAATGAGGGCTGCTGACTTCTTTCACAGGGGCCCTGATTCTCCTTTGTCCTAAAGGGTTAGCATGTGATTCTTTGGTTTCCCTGAGATGACCTAAGAGGGGCTTGTGTCTGGAAAGCTATTGGCCTGTCATGCTTATCTGGCTGGAGGTGGAGGGTTGAAGGGGTTGGAGTTAGCTGACTGGAACAACTAAAACCCTACATTCAGAGAGGGATCACCAAATGCTGATGAATTCCCTTCCTCAGACAGGCTATGGAAAACTAACATGCCCACTCCCAAGCCTTTGCTTACATTCCACTCACTTTGGTCATAGATCATGGAATGTAGAGGCCATGACTTAGGCAGGTGAATGTCATTATATATTCTGATTGACTTACAGGTAGAATTTATAAGTGGATAGAAAACTGTTCCCAATACTTGTAAGTGAAGTCCCAAGGATGTGTCTTAAATCAACTGTATAAAAAGGAGACATATGTAGAACTTTAGACAATAAAAAAAAATCAACTGTATAATGCTGAGCCATCCAATATGGCAGCATTAGATATATGTGGCTATTGAGCCCTTGAAATGTGGCTCATGCACTGAGGAACTAACTTTTTTTTTAAACTTTAATTAAGTTTAAATTTTAAAACTTTTGCCTAGCTCAGTTATTTGAAAACATTTAAGTATGTGAAGTATGTGTATCTGCTTCTTCAACTATAAATTTTATGAACTCTGTATAGAGATCATCCATTTTGGATGAAAATTTAGTACCTAATTGGGATGTGGTTTGAATGTACAATGCACAACAGATTTCAAATATTTATCTTGAGAAACAGAATGTAAAATAGCTCATTAATAATTTTTATATTGACTACAGGTTGAAATAATAATTAGATTAAATTAATTGCAATAAATAAAATATATTGTTAAAGTTAATTTTACCTGTTTAGTTATAGTTTTAATGTGACTTCTAAAAAATTTTTAAATGAAATATGTGGCTTACCTTATATTTCTACTGGATAGCACTGGTATAGTTTTTTAGCACAGAGGGTGCTGAAAGTTCCAACTGCAAATGATTCTGAGGGGCAACAGAACTCACCCATGAGTCTTAGCTCCCTGTCTTCATCGTACACACCCAGAGGATGATGTTCACTCTTCTTGGTTGCAACACTAGGGTGAGAGTATATGGAGATGTCTGAAAGATCCACCCTATGCAAAGAGCAAAGCAGGTGAAGTTTTTTGGTGCTGACACCTTGTCCTCTGGGGCCCCATGCCCCATGATCTCCCCCTCCCCCACTCTCCTACAGCCTTCTCTAAGAAAAGATCAAATATTATTCCATTAAAGCATCTTAGTGATAATTTGAATTTAGTTTTAGAGATCTGCTCTGCCTGGGGAATTTCATTTCATATTTCATCTTAAACTAGAGGCCTGGTGCACAAAATTTATGCATGGGGGTTGGTATCCCTCAGCCCAGCCTGCACCCTCTCCAATCTGGGACACATTGAGGGATGATAGACTGCCCTTTTAGGCCCCATTGGCCCGATTGCCCCTAACTGCCCTTCCCTGCTGTCCTGGTCACCCCCAACTGCCCTCTCCTGCTGGCCTGGTCACCTCCAACTGCCTTCCTCTGTAGGCCTGGTTCCCCACAAATGCCCTCCCCTGCAGGCCTGGTCACCCCCAACTGCCCTCCCCTACAGGTCTGGCCGCCCCCAACTTCCCTTCTCTGTGGGACTGGTTACCCCTAACTGCCCTCTCTACAGGCCTGATCACCCCCAACTGTCCTCCCTTGCAGGTCTGGCCCCTCACAGCTGCCTTCCCCTGCCAGCCTGGTCGCCTGTAACTGCCCTCCCTTGCAGGCCTGGTACTTCCCAACTGCCCTCCCTTGCTGGCCATCTTGTGCTGGCCATCTTGTGTCCACATGGGAGGCAGCCATCTTTGGCCATATGGGGGTGGCCATCTTGTATGTTGGAGTGATGGTCAATTTGCATATTAGGCTTTTATTATATAGGATACCAGAATGAAGTGTGGAGAATTGGGCCCCTGGGAGTAAACAAGGGAGTATTTGGGGTCCTCCGATTCACAAGCTAGCCCCAATGTCCCAGTTCCTTTCTGATCTTGCTCATGACTTCTTAGTTTTGTTTTTCTAGGAAATGTTACTAGAGGTCTTTTTCCCCCCTCCTTTTGATTCCCACAGGGTGAAAAAGGTGATCTGGGTCTTATGGGTTTACCAGGATCAAGAGGACCAATGGGCTCCAAGGTCAGTGTGCTGGTCCAGATGGATGTTCTCAGATCTTCTCACTAAGGCTCTGGAGCAGCTGTTATCTATACAGATGGGAACTGGGTGTGGCTGCCATCCTGGGCAAGGTGCTGTCACAGATGTTAGACCAATGCCAGTGTGCTTGTCTTTACCAGCCTTTGAGGGACACCAGGGCTGGGATGCAGGGGCATAAGGATGCCATTTCTGCTGTTCTCCTGGGCAGCAAGGGTCAAGCCTCAGGACAACAAAACAGATGGAAATCTTTGTTCAGGCCTTTGGGGGTGGTGATAAGAAAAGCAGCATTCTTTTTAGACCTGATGTAAACACAATCCCAAGGGTCTTCTTTGTATTGAATGCTGCAGTCCCCACTAAAACTTGCATTGCACCTCTCACCACCACATTCAGGGATTCTGTCCACTCTCACACCAAACCCGACAAGGATGATAAATATATCTTCTGCTTTTTTTTTTAGGGCTACCCTGGATCCAGAGGGGAAAAGGTTAGTGCTTCTCTCTTCCAGCTTTCCAGAGCCTGGTTTGGGCTGGTGGCTCTGGGACCAGTGAGGATGGGCCCAGGTCTTTCTTCAGTCAGTGACCTTGCCTCAATATTCCTCATCTTTCATCAGTGGGCTGAGAGAAGTGAGGGGCCCCTGAGGCAGGGCAGGCAGCTTAGGGAGGAGCTCCCAGTGAAAGCCGAGGCCCTCATTTGGAGCAGATAAGCAGTGAAGCTGTACCAGATGGAGAATGAACTCAGCTTGCATGATGTGCTGGAGCAAGATGGCAGATGTGTGTCTTTAGACCAAGCTATCACCACACAACCTTCTTATCTGTCAAAAACCAAAATCAGAAAATCCAGCCAGAACCTGGGGACAGATTTTCTATGGAAAAGGAGAGGTTCTGAGACCCAGAATCTTCTGTGCCTTGTCCTTTATTAATGCAGGAGGTATTTGTGGTCCAAATAGAAGGTAAATCACAAAGCATTTCTTCCCTGGGAAGGTCATGTAATCTCTGAGCTTGTTTCTTTGCCTATGAAATGAGGGTATTGGCATAGGATAGGGAGTTATTAGTTTAAAATGCTCCAATTTTTCTCCCATAGTATTAACTCATGTATTCTCTCCTGTGGTTTTCTCTTAGGGATCCAGAGGTGAAAGGGGTGACTTGGGTCCCAAAGGAGAAAAGGTAATGGCTGTTGCATAGAAATGATCAAATACAATGGAAGTGGTGACCTTGCCTACCCCCATCTTGTGGGCAGACTGATTAGCTGGCTGTCTGTCTGACTGGCTAACTGCTTGACTGTTTGTCTATCTATCTGGCTAGCCGACTGACTGACTATCTGACTGGTTGGCTGTGACTGACTGACTGACTGGCTGGCTGGCTGACAGGCTGGCTATTTGTCTAACTGGCTATCTGTCTAACTGGCTGTCTGTCTAACTGGCTGACTGACTGACTGGCTATCTATCTCTCTGTATGACTAGTTGACTGGCTGATTATCTGTCTAACTAGCTATGGCTGGCTGGTTGGCTGTGACTGACTGGCTGTGACTTACTGATTGGCTGGCTGGCTGACAGGCTGGCTATCTGTCTAACTGGCTATCTGTCTAACTGGCTCTCTGTCTAACTGGCTCTTTACCTAACTGTCTGTCTAACTCACATGTGTCAAACACAAGGCCCGCGGGCCAAATCCGTCCCGCCAGGCCTTGCAATGTGGCCCGCACCGCGCTGTCATCACTGCACTCCGCTGCGTTTCCATCACAATGACAGTTTATGACTGTTCAGTAAACCATTCGGCCCGCGATTTAGGCTGGATTTTAGATTTTGGCCCCTTCTCTGATTGAGTTCGACACCCCTAGTCTAACTGGTTATCTATCTAACTGGCTGTCTGTCTAACTGGTTGTCTGTCCAACTGGCTGACTGACTGACTGACTGGCTCTCTGTCTCTTTGTCTGACTAGCTGACTGGCTAACTATCTGTCTGACTAGGTGACTGACTGACTGACTATCTGTCTAACTAGATGATTGACTATCCGTCTGACTATCTGATTGACTGACTGACAGGTTGGCTATCTGTCTAAATGGCTGACTAGCTATCTGTCTATCTGTCTGACTAGATGACTGGCTGACTGGCTGTCTGTGTATGTGTCTGATTAGTTGATTGGCTGGCTGACAAGGCTCTATCTTGAAAATGGCTGACTAAGCTCTTCCACAGCCCTCTCAAGAGTTATTCAGAGGCAATTACTAATATTTGTTGTTCTCTTCACAGGGTTTCCCAGGATTTCCTGGAATGTTGGGGCAGAAAGTAAGTACCTACAAGTAGTAAAAAATAGAAGTGAAAAAATAGACCATCCAAGTACAACAAAAAGAGGCCTGTCTCTGTTCATGAGGCAGAAAAAAATAGATCTCGCTATGGAATATTCTGGTTTGAAAGAGGAGCGTGTTGCTGAACATATAGGTGAGAGGTCTGAGACCTCCTTCAGGTCAGTGAGAGGGCAAGGACACCCCCCTGATGGATAGAAGCCCTACTCTGTACTTGCTGCCCCTTAGAATGCTGTGGTGATGTCCAAAGGCAGAGAGCTTTGTGACAAGGGGCTCAGGTCTGAATTGTAGTGGTCAAAGGTCCCAGTGGGAGGTGCAGGCTTCTCTGGTTAATGCAGCTGCCAACTACACCCAGCTCAGCACTTCTTCAGGGAGGCTCATGTACTGCTACAGGTAGGCAGAGTTATTTTAGTTGGTGATAGCAAGAAATTTTTATTTGTTAAACTTTTTATTTAAATAGTTAAATATTTAGTGGGATTTCATGAATATCTTGCCTGGGACAAGGCTTAATAAAGAAAAGAGTTAATTCAGTTGACTTAAATAGAAAATATTGAGTAAATAAGAATAACACTGTGTGAATATATGACAAAAACTATGAAGGTGACAATTGACAGAGTTTAAACAAAACTTTTCCTTAGGGTTGAGGTCTAGGGAAGAAGAATGGGGAGAGTGGTGCGGGGAGGTATCAGAGAATGAAGAGAGAGTGCAGAGGTGGCCACGGAGATCACCCCTAATCTAACCCCGAAGCGGTGGGTCCTCATGCTGTGAGGCACCGACGTGGGAAATTGTTATTTTAACCTTGTCCTCAGAGTACAGTGTTTTTCAAACGTACCAATGAGATGCTTTATTAAAATTCTAAACTTTTTCTCAAGTTCGCCTTGAAGTTTTATTTTCCAAACTTAAATAAATTTTTATCTGATTTTCTCTAGTCAATAGAGCATCCTATATAATAAAAGCCTAATATGCAAATTGACCAAACAGCAGAATGACAGGTCAATGGGCAGTGTTAGGCCAGGCAAGGCAGGTGCCAGCAGGCAGATGGAAGGGGACAGCGATGGGGGCGGGGGGGAGGGCCTGTGACCAGCAGCAGTGGGGCAATGGGTGGAACCAGAGCTGCCCCCTGGTAGTCAGTGCACTCCCACAGGGAGAGCACCACTTGACCATAAGCCGGGCTGAAGGCTGGTGAATGCAGTGGTGGTGTGGAAGCCTCTCCCACTTTTGCAGCATCACTAAGGATGTCCAACTGCACCTTAAGCTGTCAGTCGGACATTCCCCAAGGGTTTCCAAACTGCAAAGGGTGCAGGCTGAGCTGAGGGACACCCCCGAGTGCACGGATTTTCATGTATTGGGCCTCTAGTATTTAAATAATTGCAGTCATCTAATATTAATTTATTATCATTTATCATTGCCTTAGGCTGTCAAAAAATTTTAGGTGGGGTATTAAAATCAGAGTAAGTAAATGAGCAAATTAAAAGAGACATTAAAAGAGAAAAAAATGATTTAAAAATATTTTTATTAATTTCAGAGAGGAAGGGAGAGGGAGAAAGAGATAAAAATATCAATGATGAGAGAGAATCATTGAAAAGCTGCTTCCTGCACACCCCACACTGGGGATCTGCAACCAGGGCATGTGTCCGGTCCACAGGCCAATGCTCTATCCACTGAGTCAAACCGGCTAGATCGAGAAAAAATGATTTTAGTTGAAAATATTTAGGTTATGTTTCATTCAGTGCAAAAGTGAGCGTCAAAGAATAATCCATTACTGTAAAATTAAAGATGACAGTTTCTCTGGTCTCTGCTCCACTTAATAGACTTGCCATCAGGAATTCTATTCCCCTTTCAGGACAGGCTGCTTTAAGACAGAGCAGATATGATAACCATAATTAGGTCAGAGGAGATAAATTAGATTAAGTGAGTACTGGCTGCTTCCAGTTGATGAAGAGAAGGGCCACACTTCTTTCTGATAGTCTTTTTTTAAAAGTTATGTTGCCCTGGCTGGTTGGGCTCAGTGGACTGAAGGTGGGTTCGATTTCAGTCAAGGGTATAAGACTGGGTTGTGGCCTTAATCCCCAGTGGGGAACATGCAGAAGCTGGCTGTTCGATGATTCTCTCTCAACATTGTTGTTTCTATCTCTCTCTCCCTTTCCCTTCCTTTCTGAAATCAATAACTTAAAAAAAAAAAAAAAAGTTATGCTGTTTATAAAATTCAATTAAAAGAGAAAGTGTTTTCCCCCAATAGCTTATAGCGTCACGGGCACACTTGTGATTGAAATACAGCACCTCTATTGTTGGCCATTCTGGAAGGCAGCTATGCTCACCACTATACCACCAACGCCTTTATTGTTGGCCATTCTGGATGGTGATTTGGGACACTAAAGTGTGTGCTACCTGGCAGCTGTCTCTCTCAGATAATAAATTACCCGCCCAAGATAACCTCTTTTCCTTCCTGGTCCATGAAAAACCTACCTACCTTTCACATGACCTCATCATTCTTCCAGTCTCCTAGAGCAGCCCACTTGGAAAACATCTGGGATGATCTAGTAGACGGCCATTGTGGCCAGGGATTGGGTAGACCTGCAAGGAAGGGCCTGCTCCAGATTCCCTAATCCCTCTCCTTCATCTCTTTTTCTTTCCAGGGTGAAATGGGTCCAAAGGGTGAGCCTGGGATAGCAGGAAACCGGGGACCCACAGGAAGACCAGGAAAACGAGGCAAGCAGGTAAGGATCTGGGGCTTTTAGGTTTCAACAGTAAGGTGGTTCTCTTCCCGCCCCTCTCCCCCATCTCCCCCCTCCTAACTCAGGATCCCAGTTTGTAAGTGATCTTCTTTATTGGCACTGTTAAGGTTTTGGGAAAATTTCTCATTCTAACTCCCTCTGGTCAGCAGGCTCTTGTGTTAGACCATGTGAAATGAGAGAACAAAGCAAGAGGAAGGTACAGTTGGCTTGGCTGGCTGTGGAGCTGTCTGTCCTAAGTGCCTTAGAGAAACCTCTCATCTTAGCTCTAACAGACAGACATTCTTGAAAGATGTGCCCCTTCACTTTTTAGGCGGTAGTTTGTTTGGTTTTTGCCTCCTTTCCCATTTAAATGTAATATATGATTATCATAGGAAACTTGGAAAATTCTACCCATGAAACAAGAGGTCGCTAGTTCAATTCCCAATCAGGGCACATGCCTGGGTTGTAGGCTTGGCCCCCAGTAGGGGGCATACCAGAGGCAGCTGATCGGTGTTCTGTTCTCACATGACATCAATGTTTCTATTTCTCTTTTCTTTCTCCCTCTCCCTTCCTTTCTCTGGAAAAGTCAATACAAACATATTTTAAAAAATGATCTAACATCCAGGTATAACCATATATATTTTTAGTATATTTTTAGTATATTTTCTTTCCAGTATGTATTCTTTTGTGAACTTTCCAGTCATTTGTTTCTTTTCTATCCAATATATAGTTATTGTATCCTAAATTTTAACTTAAGATCGTAATATATGCATTTTTACTCATTGCTATTCATTAAGCATTTTTAACATCTTTTTTAAATGCCTACACTAGATTTTAGTAAGTGAGTGACTGCTTGGACAAGAGAGGCCTAACCAAATTATATATGATGTTGAGAAGTGAACATCTTTGGGCCATAGTTGTAGTTCCAAGTGTGCCTCTCATTGTCCCCAGTGTCTAGGCCTTACCTCCCAAAGACTCTGAAATAAGTGGTCTGGCGTGAGGCTTCAGCATGGGTTGGTGTTTGTTTAAAACTCCCCACATGATTCTAATATGTAGCCAGGGCTCAGAACATGATAACATATGAAGCCAATTCTGATTTTTTTCCAAGTGAACTTAGCAACAATACAGCCTCCAACCCAAATAATTCAGATTTCACAAAAACTTTGGAAGTCACAATATTTTAGTTCAGTTTTCAAAGTTTTACAATGGGTAGCATGGCCATGCCTTCACAATGCTCTCACAGATTCCAATTTCCCGAAAACTAGGCTCAGAAAAAGAAAAAAGGAGACATCTTTCTCCCTTTCTTTCTTGTTTTAAAGATCACTTTCTCCCTTACTGCTGACTTCCATTCATAATATTCTACACTGGGGTTCAAGCAGATTTGTGCCTTCTGTCATCTGGTTCTTTACCTGGGCAGAGTTTATCTTTTCCTGGTGAGGGCTGAAGCTAAGAAGTTGAAAATGATTAGTTGTAGTAATCTTACAACTCGCCCAGAGCCATGTCTAGAAGCTCAGAGAAGTTAGGGGAATAAGCTCTTCCTTTCCATGAGGAGTTTTCTCCAAACCCTCCGTGCCTGCCTAGTCAGCAGACACTTGAGTTGTTAGCTTTGGAGGCCTGCCATGGTACTTCCTGTTTACCGAAATTAAATTTATTAGCAGAGGGTCTTATCTACCAAGCATCCATGGGGCCAGTGGTGCTGAATTTCTGGAGGTTATTGTACATCAATCCAAACTCTAGAATCAGAAATCCAAAAGAGACTTTAGGAAATTAGAATTTCAGAACCAGGGGATTGTAGTGATCACCCAATTCAATCGCCTTAGTGTAATCACAGGAAACTGAGTGCTGGAGAAGTGGAATGACCTGCCCAGACCCCTAAGCCAAGCCCACTTCCGTGCCAGAGTTAGCGTTTGGAGAGTTGAGACCAGCTTTCTCTACATCACATCTCTCATCACCTATCCATGCTCCAGGACTTGCCTTCAGTCAGGCAGGCCCAGAGAAGCAGCCCTAATCCCATTATGCAAATCTGCAATTAAGGAGACAGACTTCCTCCCTGGAGAAGTATCACCAAACTTTGTGAAAATAAAGGAATGAATGCTTTTCCTGGAAAGCGTGGCTCCTGAGTCCTGCTCATAGAGACATGGCTGGTTCTGAGAGGACAACCGATGAGCAGAATATTCCATTACTGCTGGTGTCAGAGTCAAGGAGCATTTCCAGCTCCTTCAGCTGTGGCACTTCCTGCGCTCAGAGCCAGCTGACTGGCTGCTAGAACAAGCAGCCTTAACTGCAGCTATATTAGGACGGTGTGACTTCCTTTGCCATTCTGGGACCCATCTTGGTTACCTCATGGCATGCTTCAGCTTGGGCTAAGGCTTTAGATTCCCTCCGTCAGGATGGAATTAGAAACAAATTCTGACCCCTGAGTCCCACAGTAAGAGTTTTAAGAACTCCTGGGACATTCCCGAGAGAGCCCCCAGGGCCATGTGGACAAGGAGACAGGTTATGTGTCACCTTTGTGATTGGATAGAAGTGCCCTGCATGACTGCTGCCCAGACTTGGGGAGGATTACATTTCATCAGGTGGCCAGCCTGCCGAGGCACAAATTTGGAAAGGAGACCCCGCCAAGAATGTCAGGCATCAATCACTGTCCTGGTTAAGCCCAGGGCAAGTGTGAACAGTGAGCACACGGCTTGTGAGGAACCCACAGGCCTTGGTTTCTGAGTCATTCCTAAGGGCAGCTCTGAGGGGAAAATCTTTGCTCTTGGCCCTCCCAGGGTGGGCAGCACTGCAGGTGTGTCTCTCTTTAAGAAATCAGGACCTGTCTGTGTGAGAAAGATGAAACCAAGCCAATTGCTGTGATAATGAGCACTGGTAATCTACATAATCCTTGGTTCTGTACAAACTCCTTTCACCTCTAAGATCTTCGTTTAGTCTCACAACAAACCCATGCAGGTATATATTTACTGGCCCTATTTTACAGATGAAGAAAACTAAGGCACAAAACAATGGCGTGAGTTACCCAGGGCCTCATGGCCAAGGTGAAAACCCAAATCTTTGACTTCCCCTTTGTGACTTCAGTTCTTCCTCCTCCCTTATTTGATCTGGGGAAAGGAGGTGAACAAAACAGCTTCATACCCATAGGGAGCTGATGTCTCCTGGGGTTGATGAAATGATCACAACAATAATTGCGTAGTTATGGTCTAAGATAAATGTTATGGTTCTTTATCCTGAGGCCAGTGGGTAGCCATTGGGTGGAAACAGCTCCTGTAATAAAATAGAAATGTTACCTAATGAGTAGGCAGGGACCCATCTGAGTGCTAGGCCCAGTTTTGCTGCCTTTCTGCCAGGTGACTTGCAGTAATTCCTGCTCCTTTCTGAGCCTCTATTTCCTCATCTGCCCAGTGAGGGGAGAGAGTTGGATTGTTGTGTTTCTCCTCCCCTCCCCCGCAGCTGTTATGTGTCATGTTTCTAGGACAGAACAAAAAGTAATGTCTGCAAACTTGCCACCATCATTATCTCAAATGTCACTTGCCCTGAGTTATTATATTTTGGAGGTTGGTGGTCAAGATGTCTGAGATTGCATCCTGCCTTGGGCTCTTGCTCCAAAGTGTAGGGTGGCCCCTGCTTTAGAAATAAATGGGAAGGAAGTTGGTAATGCCATGCTCTCATAACAAGCTCTGCCTTTCTCTCTCAGGGGCAGAAGGGAGATGATGGAATTATGGGCCCACCAGGCAAGCCTGGGCCTTCTGGTCAACCTGGCCGTCAGGGTCCCCCAGGACCTCCAGGTCCTCCGTCCTCAGGTAAGAGCTACACTGTTTCATTTGACCTACAGTGTCGCACTCCTGGCCACCTCCTGGAGAGAGCCCAAGGAGATGCCAGCAGAGGCCTGCCTGGTGTTTTGAATTAGAAATGCTAGAGAAACTTCAATATATTTATAATTTCTCCACAGTTAGGCTCATTTTTACACAAGGAAGATAAACATTGTTCTGGCTTTGTTTTTAGCATTTTGGAGAACAAATAGAGGAGAGAAAAAATTGCATTGATGATGTCACTTGTACATAAGTGAAAAATAATGCACATATTTCATCAATAACATCTTTTACTAGAAAACCATTTGATGATTCTAAGCAATTCTCTTAAACCTGGAAGTAAAAATAACATGGTAAAAATTTTCATCATACACAGTGTTAGGAAAGAATCCTTATGGATTTGCATAGAATGTAGAAAGAAACGATAAAAAGAAATCAGAATCATTTGTGAGGTCATAGATACCCTGCTACCTTGTTTTACTTTGTTTAATATGATAAACTAAGCCCTTGATTTAGTTTGTTCTCATCAGCTCAAAAGCACATTGTATAAGCACAGCATCTCTATTTCCAAAAAGACTGTTGACTGATTGAGCAACATTCTTTGTCCTCAGTTATATACAAGGAATCAAAACAATTTTTGTTCCATTTTTTTCCTTAAGAAAATGAAAACAAAATTCCACAGTGCACTCCCCCCCCCCCACCGCCCCGCGTGCTTATAGAAATATGTTTGCAATCACATAATGGGATGATCAAGAAATGTCATATTTTTTTTTTAGATCTTTTAAACCAAATTAAAGCTGGTTCTGAAACTCCAATCTGCCAGAATGCCAGGAAAATTTCATTTTAGACTTTATTGGGTTCTCTCTACTTCTCCAACTGCCACAAAAAAATTGGGTAAAAGTCCTGGGAAATCATGGCAGAAAACAGCAGGGGGAGATCCCTCCAGGCTTTTATGTGCCGTGTTTACCTCTGAAATGCCTGTTGTCTGAGGCCACGTGGTCTGTGGGTGCCTGTGACTGCCATCTCATGCCATGCTTAGGCATTAGAACATCTCCAAGGCTGGGAATCCTGGTCCCTGTGGCTCACTTCCCACGGAGTGCTCACAGCCATTCCTTCTGAGACCTTATCTCTTCTCCAGGATACTGGGGAGGGGATACCTGTTCTCTCCAGGCCTGTGGGGATCCCTCCTCTTCCCATCTCTAGCCCTCTCTCTCTCCTTACACTTCATACACTCCCACCCTCTTAGGAGCTTTTCTCTTGAGAACGGAAGGCTGAAGTTTTCAAATAGCACCAACAAGTTATCTTGTCACACCTACTTCTATTTGTTAAGGGAGCAGGATTTGTGATGCAGCCTAGGCCCTGTGTCCATGTCCCATGATCTGTTTCCCTGCATTGACTAGATGATCCAGATGGAAGTCCTTCCAACTCATTTTTCTTCTGCCTAACATTCCCCTATGAGCTGCCCAGGTCTGAGAGATAAGCCTGAAGCCTGGGTTTTGCATTTGGAAAAAACTCTTGGACCTTGGGGTATTTAGGGGCCACAAGGAAACATGAAGGGGAGGGAGTGAGGGGGGGGTCATTGTGCAGATATAAAAGAAGGTCCTTAGCATATGCAGACCTTAATGTATGCATCCATGTGTAAAGGCCAGCCCTCATCTAGGTTGAAATCCTTTCCTTCTCGGGCCTGGATTGGCTGAGAAGGGCCACTGCAGCAGCCAGTGGAGATGAGCAGTTCCCTGGGCAAAGGTGGAGAGTAGGTCTTCTGGCTGCAGGGATGGAGGCCAGGCCAGGCCCCCTGGACCAACTCTCATGAGAGGCTGAAGTGGGGAAATTTGGGTTGCTGTGCCCTTCAGTGCACCCTGGCAGGACACAGTCAGGGAAACAGATGACCCCTAACAGCTTGGAGGAGTCAGCAGGAAAACTGCACTGGTGGCAGGAAGCAGGCTCCCTGCCATATCCTGTCATGATAGGGGGAGGCTCCCTCTGGTTCTGGTGCCCAGCGCTGTGTGATGAGATGGCGCGGCAGGGAGATGGAGATGGTTGGAGCTTTTTATTACCCAAGTTACAGAGCAAAAGAGGTAGTGCAGGGTAGAGGAGGGAATGAAGGCAAAAATGCCTTTAGGATGTAATTTGTAATAACCAAATTACAAATTTGGCTGAGTCCTTCCTCTGCCAGACAGGGTATAAGTGAATCAGTGTGGTACCTGGGAATTGCCTTCTATCTCCCTGCAAGCATCAGTGTTCCTGGATGTTTGTCTTTTGAACGGCACAGTGTTGTCAAACATGAATTCAAATCTCTGCTTCAGCACGAATTAGCTGGGTAATGGGACAAATCTTTTGAGGCCTTGGTTCTAGGAGTTGTTGGGGCCACTCACATCCCTGGTTACATAGCATTCCCATCTTAGTTTGCCCAAGTGCTTAACTACCAGAATATTCCTGGGCTGGTGGAGTCTCTGCTCTCTGTGCTTCACTCCACAAGATTGGGGCTCCTCCCACAAGATCATGTTCCTATTTCTCGTTAGAATGAACAGCCATTACTTGGTATAAAATGTTGACAAGCCTCCCTTGTCCTCATACTGGCAGCATCTGGGCTGGACAGGCTGAGCCTGCTGGTGAAGGCTCAGGGTGTGGGGTCTTCCCATTGAGGCCTCCTTCTCCAGCTGTGACTGCTTCCCTGGGGTCCTGACCAGACCTTTCCCCAAGACCATTTTATTTCTTGCCCTTCTGGGATCTGCAGACTGGCTCCCCAGTTTTATAACCTGAAACCAATGACTGGTTGGCATTCAGATTCTCCCCCACCCCTCCTATTTCCCCAGGAGGAAGGGTCTTTTTTTATTTTTCAGTTTCCATCTTTTCCTCTCTTCCCGTTGATTGGATGGCTCTTGCTCCAATCTGTATTTGGAGTTGTGACATCTAGGTTTTTCTGAAGACCTTTTCTTTCTAGTTAGTCTGCTTTCATTCATTCATTCATTCATTCACTCAGTCATCAGACATGTTCCATGCCCCTATTGTGTGTCAATCCCTGGTGAATGGAAACGGGCATCAGCCCTGCCCTTATGGAACTTACACCCTATGGGGAGAAAGCAGATAATCTCACAATATGCAGAGTCACAGAGATAAATGCCTTGAAGAAAAGCATAGAGAACCATGAGATTGTCTCCAAGGTTAACATGAAAGAATATGAGGATTCAAAAAGGCTTCCCTAGCCGAAACCAGTTTGGCTCAGGGGATAGAGTGTCAGCCTGCAGACTGAAAGGTCCCGGGTTCGATTCCGGTCAAGGGCATGTACCTTGGTTGTGGGCACATCCCCAGTGGGGGGAGTGTGCAAGAGGCAGCTGATCGATGATACTCTCCCATCGATGTTTCTAACTCTCTACCCCTCTCTCTTCCTCTCTGTAAAAAATCAATAAAATATATTTAAAAAAAAAAAAAAAAAAAAAAAGGTTTCCCTGGAAAAGTGCAAGGAATGGCATGTGCAAAACTGTTCCCTAGACCAGCGCTTCTCAACCTTGGTGCCCATTGGAGCCATCCTGAGAGTTTTTAAAAGTGCAGTTGCCTGGGTTCCGTTCTCAGGAATCCTGAAGGTCTGGGGTGCGGCCTGAGCGTCAGAGCCTTTAGAAATCAAGGGGGGGGAGGGGGGAATCAAAACTGCTACCCAAGCAGGTTTCCGACGTTGCAGGGAATACATTTCCTGATCACATCTTTTCAGGACACTCTTCTCTGTACCAGGGAGAGTATAGGGCTGAACACTTTTGAACTCCCATTTTCTTCCAAAAGAAATTTTTAAAATGCATACTCAGAAGTTCCTTTATAAAGATTCTATATATAAAAACAATATAAAATGATTTAAAAAACAAACAAACAATACAAGTTATTAGTGAGCAATTTATCTGCAAGGAGTCCCCTGTTGATAATGGTTTAAGAAGACAGGATTGTTTTGTGTTTGTTTGTTGTTGTTGTTTTCATACAATAAGAGAGACAAGAAGTGGATAGTGGCCCACTTTGGTTTATCCTCTAAGGGTCAATACTATCAGGGCTCCAATCCCCATGAACCCCTGGCTTGTCCCTTATGGTGGCTTCTCTTCTCATCCTTGTTACTTCATGTTAGCAGTATGGCTGCTGCAGCACCAGCCATATTATCTGTCTTCAGGGCAGGAAGAAGGGGGAAGCTGAGTCTCTTCAGCAATGATTCTCCCTTATCAGGACAGGCTTTCCCTGATGCCCACCCTTCTCCCAACATTGACCAACACTGTGGCACATGGCCACCTCCAGGTGCAAAGGGGGTCTGAGAAGTAGAAGGCCTATCTGTCTAGTCTCTAAGTATAAAGAGAGGGAGGGGAGAACAAGGGTGGGAAAAGGTGTGATCACACCCAGCATGGTTAAGGAATCCACAGAGAACATCACCTCCTCCACATCTTGGATCAAAAGCATCTCTTTGAATCTCTGCCCTGAAATACTGCGGACTTCAGCCTTCTTTCTGTTGGGAAGGTGGCTCACATCAGTCTGGGCTGTTTAGTTTTCTCGTCCTTGGCTCTAGTAACACCGCCGTCTGTCGCTCCCTAGGACAACTTATAATGGGACCCAAAGGAGAAAGAGGATTCCCAGGGCCTCCAGGAAGATGTCTTTGTGGGACCCCCATGAATGTGAATAACCCTTCTTATGGGGAATCCGTGTATGGGCCCAGCTCCCCAAGAGTCCCTGCGGTAAGGTTCTTCTGGGAGAAATCTGGGGCGTTACCCATCAGGACCTCTCATCTGGTCCCCGGGGCTTTGTAATAGTAAAACTTTTTTATGTATGTATGTGTTTGTTTAGTAAAATTTATACTGGGTACACACCCATAAGAAATTGGAACATAAGGAAATATCTAAAGAAAATTATTTTGTTGTGAGTCCATTTTGATGTATTTTCTTTGTCTTTTTAAACAAAAAATTATAGAAAATTTCAAAGTAATATGAAAACAAAACAAATCATGTAATAAAACTCCATGTGCCCTTTACCCAAAGTCAATATTTATCAACTCATGGCCAATCTTGCTTTCTCTTTATGCCAGCCCACTCCTGCCCACCTTCCCTTGGTTTATTTTTAAGTAAAAGCTGGATATCAGTTCATCATAAATATAATTTGAATTGATGCCTAATCACCCACCCACCATGCAGTTGTGCTGTGATTTATATAACCAGTGTCCTATTGTCAGTGATTATGGGCTATGCCCAAGCTTTTCACTAATGTACATAACACTGTAATGAACACCTTTGCAAATGTTGTTAAGACTCATTTGTAGATATTGAATTACTTGCTTAGATGACCTCGCCTTCCTATTTAAGTCTTGGGCACATTTTAAATGTTTTTTAAAAAACACTTGGATATTTTTACCTCAAATGGAGTCTTTAGGAACTGGATTGAAAAGTTATGGGAATCAAGACATTCCTTCCCTCATCAGGAGGAATGCTAGAGAGGAACATGCAAGCCCCCTTTCCCCTGATAACCAGTCCAAGGACAACGACGTGTCCTCCTCCAGCTCCTCCCCTGCCCGCACAAGAAGTGTTTTTTTGAAGCCTCACCAGTGTGTCCTCTGGCAGATTTTCGTGGTCAACAACCAGGAGGAGCTTGAGAGGCTGAACACCAAACATGCCATCGCCTTCCGCAAAGACCAGAGATCCCTGTACTTCAAGGACAGCCTTGGCTGGCTCCCCATCCAGGTACCCAAGGCAGGCGCTCGGGACACACCCCACCAGGAAAGGCACACACCTTCAAAGGCAGAGAAGGCCAACAGCGAGGCTGGTGCAGAGTTCTGTTTCCATGGAAGGGCCGAGCATCCTCCCTCGCTCTGTCTCTGAGCAGCTCTTCATGCCCCCTGCTCCCCAAAGAGAACCGTTTCTTCTGAGCCAAGGTTCCCGAGAGCCTCACGTTCCCGCGCTGCAAGGGCACTGAGTAGATCTGGCCCAGGCTTCCTGCCCTTAGGAGCAAAAAGGCAGTGCCTTTCCCACCCAGGAGTGCGGGGCGCTCCTCAGCGGAGCCCCCCTGGACCCAGAGCTTCTGTCCCCAGTGCCAATGACCTGCCCCGCCTGTCCTTGGTAACTTGGTGTGTTTCTTTGGCCAGCTGACCCCCTTCTATCCCGTGGACTACTCCGTAGACCACCGCGGCTCCTGTGGGGACGGGGTCCTGCAGCCCGGGGAGGAGTGTGACGATGGGAACTACGACGTGGACGACGACTGCATCCGTGAGTGGGGCCCTGCCCGAAGCTTGAATTGCCATGGGGTGGGGGTCAGGGCAAGCCCTGGACACCTGGGTGGTTTGGGATCATTTTAGAGCCTGATGGGGGTGTACCTGAGCGGTTGTGGGGATGATCCGCCTGTGAGGTCAAATGTTAACTCCTTCATTATCCATTGAAGGCTTGGAGTCAAGGCCCTTGCCCCTAGAAAAGCCTCCAGGGCCTGTTTTTTTGTTTTGTTTTTTCCTGACACCTACTTCTTGGCAAAATCCAAATTCCAGTCCATGTTCTTTGTCAAAAGATCAGGGTGAGAAATAAACAAAAAAGAAACCACAAGAAAGATAAGGGTGATGAGGGGTGAAAGGGAAAAGGGAGAAGCCAAGAATTTTAATCAGGGCTCACTTTTACCAGATAGAGCCCTAGAGCAAAGCCCGTTTTAGGGAAAGTGGGCTGCGCAGGGTTACCGAGCCGGGCAGGCAGCCTAGTGCTGGAGGGTTTGCTTTGCTTAAAAAAAAAAAACAAAAAATCAAGGGACAAAAGCAGGAGGTAAGACGGAAAGCATGGGCTGTAGAGTCACAACAGGGTTCAAATGCAGGCTCTCAGGGCTGCCAACACACCCTCTGGGTGCATCCTTAGGCCATGCTTCCACCAGATGGAGCCCTCGTAGCAAAGCCCTTTTTAAAAGTGAGTGGGCCCAGCCCAGGCTGTCCTGCCCCTGCTCCTGCCCCTGCCCCTGCCCCTTCTCAGGGTTGCCCTTGCTTGTGTCCTCTCAGGCTGTCACCGGGCATACTGTGGAGATGGTCACCGGCACAAGGGCACGGAAGACTGTGACGGCTCTGACTTTGGCCACCTGACGTGCGAGACCTATCTCCCTGGGTAGGGATGGCCTCACGTGCTGTTCTGACACCTCTCTCTCCCCTCCTCCACCCGCCCTCCTCCTTTCTCTTTCCTTCACAAATAACTTTGAGTGCATCTTATGTTCCTGGTATTTTCGGGACGCTGAGGTATAGTAACAACACAGCACAGGATTCCTGCTCATCCTGGGGAGACAGGCAATAGACCCACAGCCACCGGGTGTCCTCCAAGAGCAGCCAAGGCCAGGGTGGAGCAGACACAGGCACCAGCTCCGCCTGGGCTCCGGTGTTAGCAGTCTCCAAACTCAGCTGTTACCCCTACGTGGGCAGCTCCATCCCCAGTGGCTGCCATGACCACATTAGTCTCTGGGGCTGTGGGTCTGGGAGGGAGCGGATGTATCAGGACATTCCAAGCATCTGTGGAACAGGCCTGTGGGTGCAGGTGAGACCATGCCAGCATCTAACTTTGCTCACGTGTGGCTCCTTCAAGAAGACCCCAGGAACTTGGTATTTCTTTCAAGGACCCCTTTCATTATTTCTGAGCCTCTTCAATGGGGTTTGTGTTGCTCAGGGTAAGTATTCTAGTGTTGTGACCTCTATGTTGACCTCCCCAGGCCAGCTGAAGGCCCTGGCCCCATGAGGCACAGATTCCATGCCCAGAATGTGGCAGCCTGAGGTCTTTTCAAGGTGTGATATGGTGCTGCGTTCCTCAATCCTCACAGAACCAGAATTGTCTAACTCTCTAGGGTAGGGGTGTCGAACTCAATCAGAGAAGGGGCCAAAATCTAAAATCCAGCCTAAATCGTGGGCCGAATGGTTTACTGAACAGTCATAAACTGTCATTGTGATGGAAACGCAGCGGAGTGCAGTGATGACAGCGCGGTGCGGGCCACATTGCAAGGCCTGGCGGGACGGATTTGGCCCGCGGGCCTTGTGTTTGACACATGTGCTCTAAGGAATACAGGGAGGCTCTTCCTTAGCACAAGAGGGGTACCTGGCCTGTCAACCCTCTCATGTCCCTCAGGAGCTCAGTCTCTTCCAGCCCTGTTCCTCTGAAAGGCATGGTCCAGACCCTCAGCAGAGCTGGGGAACAGACACCAGGCTGCTCTCTCCATTGCCCCCTTTCTGCTTTCTCTTCAAGGGCATCTTTTCAATGCCCGCACCAAAACCTACATCAACATATCAGACCATGAGGGGTTGAGGCAGACTATAGACCTATAGTCACCCCAAGACTCTAGCCTTGGCTAGGCCCCCACTGCGTCTGCATGTCTGTGTGCGCTGCGCCCCCTTGAGGTAAGGACTCCTGACAGGCATCTGCCAGAAAGTTGGCAAAAGAGCTGAGCAGGTGGATGGCTCCATAACAGCTGAGTGTAGACAGTCACTCGTGGAGAAGAGGACTGCATAGAGCCTGGCGTGCTGGGGTTTCTCTCCTAATCCCTAGAAGCTTGTGAGTGTGGGCATAATGCACAGCACGCTGTCTCAGGATTAGGACTTGGGCTAATGCAGGCATACACTGAGCTCTCTAGTGTGGTAGCCTCCGGCCACACGCGGCTATCTAAATTTAAATTAATTAAAGTGAAATAACATTTAAAATCCAGTTCTTCGGTCACACTAACCTTATTACCAGCGCTCAGTAGCCACAGAGGGCCCGTGGCTGTGTAGCGGACTGGATGGTCTAAAGGACAGAGCCAGACATGTTTCAGGCCTCGAGATGGGGAGATTCCCTCAGAGATGCTGTGTTAAGGCAAGTTCTACCAACCCCTTTCCTGCAGATCCCTCAGCTGGGCTCGAGGGGGAAAGCCCAGAGGCCTGGCCACTACTCCCCCACATCCCTGGCCTCGCATGAGAATGAGAACAGTCTCTATAGGACCCTGGGCAGCAGCGGCTGCTGTTGCATGAGGTTTGACTAAAACCACCAGAATGGCCCTTTAGAACATGGCTTTTCCCGCCAGGCTGGCAGGAGCTCTCCTGCCCACAGCCCGGTGTCCCCCCTGACCTGTATCTGCCTCCTCAGGTCATATGGGGACTTGCAGTGCACCCCATACTGCTACATCGACTCCACACCCTGCCGCTACTTCACCTGAGGACGCCAGGAGGTGGCTGCATCGCACGTACCTGCAGCAACGACTCCACCCTCATTCAACTGACCTCAACACCGTCCTGGTCCAGTTTCCACTGCCTTCATTCAACAAAAACAAGGTCAAACTCTTGCTGCTAAGATGTGCTTTTAATTCAGTCCGACGGGAAGAACTCAGGACCACTGCATCCTGTCTTAATCCAAAGTACTCAAAGACCTCCCACGTGCCCAGCCTGGGAGGCTCAGGCTCCCACTGGGCTGGTAGCCGACCGACAGTGTCCGCTGTCTTCCGGAGCGTGGCCGACCAGGCCCTGGACTGGCTTAGCACTGTTAGACACACACAGACCTGCAGGCTGTCTGTTCGCATCCCGCTGGGGGCACCTGGGATTTAGGCCTCTCTGCCCCTCTGACTTCTGGAAGCACGGGCATCTCACCAGGGAAGCCGGCCTCCAGGTCTCTCCAGGCCTGTGAACCACACAGCAGGAAAGGGAGCCCCTTCTCTTGAAGTAGCTTCCAGCTCTGGACCCCCTGAGGGACTCCTCAACTACCTACATCCCTGAACAGCCTCCTATGAACCTGGTTCCCTTAACAAGAGACCCAACCATGAGAAGTATACTGAGAAAGCCCCAAGCCCATGCTCTGTCTGGGTAAAGGGTGAGGCTCAGCTGGGGTGCCTGTGAGCAGAGAGTAGCGAGCAGTGGCCTTCCACTTTTCCATGTCTCCCCAAGGGCGGATCTCATGGTCTCACCACTCCAGGCTCCATCTTGACTTCATGGCTCTCTGCCATTTGACTTCCATCTCACAAATGCCCCTCGTGCCCATTTCTGGCTCAGGAGATTCTCAAGCAGAGGGTGACCTGAGTCCACGCCCAGGCAGGGCTGAGGAGAGGCCCTCCCAGGGTTTCCCAGCTGGGACCCAACCACTTCTAGGCAAAGACCGTTTCTGTCCTGAGCTCCGACTGCTGCCTGCCTGCTGACTCCTGTGATCCCCGTGCCGTCGTGTGTAGCCTGGTCCTCATGTCTGTGCGCCCCAGCCCCACACGTGTCCGCGGGATCATCAGCCTGCACGTCTGTGAGCTGCCGCCTTTCATCACTGGCTTTCTGAGTGGGCCCCAGCTTTGTTTTGGAAAGACATCTCTGCATGGCAGACCTCAAATGGGACCTGTCCATTTGTTACCAGATGCGAGGATACTCCTAGGCTTTTGTACAAAGCTGTTTCCTGTGGCTAAGTCTTGGTGACTCAGCAGACAGGAGCATCTGGTCCAACAGGCCATCATACTATAGTAGACGAGGTTGGCCCAAGGGAGGTGTCATTTGTGGTGGGCACATCAGCCAGCCTGGTTTTCTCAGCCTCTACCCCATGTCCTGGGGTGATGTTGCTCCCATGTAAAGCCATCACTTTCATACTGGAATCTCCGGTGGGAAATCAAGAAATAAAGGAAAAAGAAAAAGAAATAAAGGCAGTTCCTTTCTCTGCTGTGGCTCTGTCTTCCCTGGGGGTTTAGAAAGTATCCAGCATTGCCAGGTGGAATGAGGGGTCTGAGTTCAACTCTTCTTTCAAGACTGCAGAGGGTTTTAGAGCTTAGAAGCAATCCTGCTCTCTCAGGGACAAGGGAGGACACTGGGGTGCAGAGGTCACAAAACCCAGTCTTGCTAGCCCAGCCAGACCCAGCCTTGTATTAGGAACTTGTTTAGTGGAGATCCATTACTGCCTTGGGCCTGGCTGAGAGGATCCCTGCCCTGGGTCTCACACGTTGGAGGGCACTAAGAAGTTTAATTATCCTATATAACAAAAGTCTAATATGCAAATCGACTGACCAGCAGAACAATGGGCAGAACGATTGATCACTATAATGCATACTGACCACCAGGGAGCAGACACTCAATGCAGGAGCTACCTAACAGGCACCTGCCAGAAAGTTGGCAGGTTAACAGGTGGCAGTGGCAGGGGGCGGGGCTGGCAAGTGGGTGGCGCCAGGCCAGCCAAGGTGGATGCCAAGCAGGGGCCTCCCGATTGCCCCACCAGTTACTCTGCAGATTGACCTTGATCACCAGCCAGGCCTAGGGACATTACCTGTGCACAAATTTTGTGCACTGGGCCTCTAGTCCTACATAATGTGCTAAACTTCTCTGAGTTTGCTTTCTCATTAACAGGCTGGGAATAATAGTTTCTGATTTAGCAGGTTCTGGGTGGGGCCTGAGAATTGACATTTCTTTCTTTCTTTTTTTAAAAATATATTTTATTGATTATTTACAGAGAGAAAGTGAGAGGGATAGAGTTAGAAATGTTGATGAGATAGAACCATCGACCAGCTGCCTCCTGCACACCTCCTACTGGGGATGTGCCCGCAACCAAGGTACATGCCCTTGACCGGAATCGAACCTGGGACCTTTCAGTCTGCAGGCCGACGCTCTATCCACTGAGCCAAACCAGTCACAGCGAGAATTGACATTTCTAACAAGGCTCCAGAGGATGCTGATGGGCCAGGGACCACATTTTAAGAACCACTGCTCTAGGGATATGGTTCATCTGAGAACACCTGCAGACTAGGCCAAAAACACAGGGAGGAAAGGTGAGGACTTTGGGTGGGTGGCTTTTTAATATTCTTCCATTAAAGGAAATTGGGAGAGGGGGGGTTTCTATGTCCCTTCCTCTTGAATCTAGTTGGGCTTTTGACTGTTCTGACATATAGAATACTGTGGAGATGATGCTGTGTGAATCCCCAAGCTAGGTCATAAAAGGCCGTACAGCTTCTCAGAACACTCAGGGGAAGGCAGCATCATGTCAACTATCCCGAGACGGCCCAGCTAGAGAGCCGTGCAAGCCCCTTCGGATGATGGTCTTAAATGAGCCTGCTTCCAGCCATCCCCACCAGTGCCAGACATGTGAGTAAAACCAGTCTGGACTCTCCAGTCCTGCCCATCTGCCAACTGAATACCACTGAGTGACCTCACTGAAGCCACAGAGAACTGCCCAGCCAAATTCTGTCCTTATTACTAACCAACAGATTGAATTAGATAAAATGGTTGTTGTTTTAAGCCACTAAGTTTTAGGGTTGTTTGTTACTTAGCCATAGCTAACCATAGTATTGCTCTAGGGTAGAAAGGGGAGAGAACTACATGCAAGGAAGTGCCAACCCTAGAGAAGCCTCTGACTTGGGTTTGGCGCCCCCTGCAGGCGCCATAAATAGAAATGTCTTACCGCCCATTGGGACTTTTATCTGGTGAGAAAAGCCAGAGCTAGAGGGCCTCCTTAGTGATGATATGGCCCAGGGTTCTCAACCATGATAGAGACATGGGCTATGTGGAGGTAATAGGTTCATTGTCCCAATGTTCATACACCCCTGTATCCATACTTTTTCATGTACTCTGCAACTCTTCCAGCCGGAGTATGCTTCTCCACCCCTTGATTCTGAACTTGGCCCTGTCACTTGCTTTGGTCAATGACATGTCAATAATTGTGGCAGTGGCAGTTGTTTCCTCTCACTTTAGCACCTCTACCTTTGCCATGACAACATGCCCAGGCTAGGATGCTAGAGGACAGGACACATGGAGCCAACCAGCCCAAGTTGTGCCAAGGCCTAGATCAGCTGAACCTGTCAACTGCCAGGCACAAGGAGGCACCCAAGCAAGACCAAAACTGTCCAGCCACCCAGTTTAAATCTCCAATCCAGACTCGTGAGCAAAATAAATGCATATTATTTTAAGCCATTGAGTTTGGGGTTTGTCATTATAGTGACAACAGTTAAAAGAGCATTAAACTCTTATGTGATGAATGTATACCCCCTCTTCCCCACTGAGACCTGGCTCAAGTCTAACTCCTATTTCCTCCTGAGGAAATGGGAGCCATTTGCAGAATAAGCAGCAAAGGATTCCTGGCCTAGATCTCTTGACGTGTAATTACATTTCATCTAAATTTATTTAGCAGCCTCAGAATTAAAAAAGAAATATATGGTCATGGCCCACCAAGGAGTTGCAGTCTATCAAGGAAGCTAAGACCACAAGACAGATGTGGGCACTGTTGGTAACAAATGTGGAACAGAAGCAGGAGGCAGGGTCCCTTCCAGCTATCGAGTGTCAATTCCAGGGAAGGAGTGGGGTGAGCTGATACTAGGATTTGCCTAGGGATTCAGTTGCAGTTGCACCCTTGCATAGTTCTCAGACCCAAAACTAAGCCTGCCTTCCTAAACCAAGGGAAATGGCCTCAAATGCCATGTGGCTTACTGAAGTCATCCTGAGTTCTGAACTTACCTTTTAAAACTGAGGTGTACATCCTAATAAGCGTAACACCAAACTAAGGAATCAATTTAGATAATCAGGGTTAGGCACAAAGGATTCTTAAAAGAATCGTACATTTTGCATACGTAATTTCTGGTATGAAAATAAAACTCACAAGAAGCGTATTGCTGACCTTCATTTTTACTTAAATATAGTGATCTTTTAAGAGAATAAACAACAACACTTTACACAGCAAATATCTTACATAAATGTAAACATGCACATCTACTTCATAATTAAGCAAAATAAACTTTTAAGCACAAAATTTTAAAAACATTAAAGAATGAGACAATGAACCCAAGACAGAAATAAAAGGAGCAATAAAAACACACATTTCATAAAGCTTCAATTGGTCTTGTCTTCCAACCTACTGGTTAAGGCCTGAGTTTCAGAAATCCTACCTTCCTTGCCAAATGGAAACATCCAATTTGGCTGTACTTAATATATACCCACATAATATAGTATTACTCTTTCAAAATAATGTAATAAATACATCACACATACACACACCCACGCATATCCTACTTAACCAGCCTATTGAATAGGGAAGTAAGGATTTTGGAATTTTCAAGTTTTCCCACTACTGAAGCACATACATATAATACCACACATAGAATGATCCTGTTACAGAAGTAAAATGGTTAATGAGTGGCATCGTTACAAATCTCTAGTTCCTCTGTATTAACTTTTTCCAAATCACGTCTTTACTGTGGCTCCTCCGATAATTCGGACTTAAGTCTTTACACCTTGCCTAATGACCCACAGTACGGTAGACATAGAACAAAAAGGTGATTTTAACAATTCAGTTAGAAACTGCAAAATGATGAAAATCAGCATGGATACTTTTCAGCTTTCTCCAGATGCCTGGAATGTTTTCTCTATGTCTACCCTTTCTACTCTACTTGGTTCTCTCTGCCTCCTCCCCACCAGCTATAAGCATCTGAATGTGTATGCCTGTGGACATCCCAGAGGATGAGATGAGAATGACGGTCCTTGCCTTTAAGTAAGGAGTTCACACCAACCAGAGCTTGAGCAAGGAAGTCAGTATGGACACAACACTCCAGCTGGTTGAAAAGAACCGAGGAAAGGTCCATGAAAATGGTACCTGTAGGAGATGGCTCCTCAGGAGTCAGGTTTGGGAAAGAGGAGAGACTGAGAAGGCACAGAGGGAGGAAGAACAAGACCATTTTGCCTGGCATGAAGGTAATCATGAGTAGTCTGTAAGGCCAAATTCTTGATTTCCAAAAACAAAAGATTCTTTACTGTGGTGGGTGAAGCTGGAGGGCGGGGGAGGGAATTACTGAGGGCTTTGTGCAGAGAACCAAACTGGAGCTAGGCTAGAGGATGACCATGCCTGTAGGGACGATGGGTGACAGGAGAGCCTGAAGCTCAGAGAGCTTAACTCGCCAACCCAAGTGCCACATGCAAGTATTTCCTATAGAACAAACATCTTTACCTGACATGCCAAAACCACAGTCTGTCTATGTATGTGAACACTTTGGGAAGCGGAGGGGGGAAAAAGAGGCTTAAATATTTTCAGTTCAAGTTCCTGAAACCTGCCCCAGCTGAGCAAATCAAGAGCAGTGAAACATTCCTACATCCAGTAACAATTCATCTTTCCTAATCATGACCTTCACCCTCCCTGAGCTGTCATTACTAAGGAAATATAAAACAATTACCAATTCATTATAAATAAGTTCCTACGTGCCATTAAATTCACTGACACCTCCTCATGGGCTGAGAACCCACTACAGGGTACCAGTGTGGACCTATTACCTACACTTGGTAGAATGGTATGAGCGTGCTGTTGGACAGTGACTGCTGGTCCACACCCCCAGCTCACTGGGATTACTATGCAGTTAAAACAGGTGACTCTATAAGGCTCAACTCTAACCAAGGCCACCACCTTGGATCATCTAATTCCCTTCTAGTTCAAGACTGCATCCCTCCACTAACTTGGGAAGAAGAGGCCATCTGAGTGGAGGGATCCCAGGAAGGAAAATCATGTTAACTGTTACTGATACCCGCTAAACCAAAGAAGATGGAAATTTCTCCAGACATATTCATTCAAATTACAGAAATGGGACAAACTAATTATGGGACAATTTATCACACATTCACTCAATATGAAACATTTACTAGTGACCAGTTTGCTGCAACAACAGATTCACTTGAAAACTGCACACTGCAGAAGGCAACCTGTGACTTTCTTCTACCTGTATATAAAAACTACAAATCGGTATGGCAATCAGGCACAAACAGTGGTACAAAAGCATGAACAGAAAGAGTGTGCTCATTTCATATTGCAGAACTCCTATTGAGATTCTGGTTTCTGAAAACCTGTTGCTGGTTCATTTGATTAGAAAGGTTCCCTCACTACACCTCTCTTCTACTCCTACCTCCCCCACTACAACCCACTGAATGAGGAACACTTAATATGGGTCTACTCAGAAGTAAAAGCCCCAAATTAACTGGTCATGTTTTGGTCTAGTGGCTGCTGGTTTAATCTGCTAACCCAGCCTCCTGCCTTTAGGGACTGTCTGGATCTGAATCTGAGCTAGAAGTACACAACACATTTGTCTTTTGGAACCCACTACAAGTTCCTATGTACATCTGTAAGTCTCATGTATGGACGCTCTGATTCTAACAAACGAGACTCAAGGGAGGGAACAATGGGAAAAGCCTGGATTGGGGGCAGGAGGCTAAACTGGCTGAGTGCTTCCCTTTCCTTATTTGTAAATGAGGGGGGTTGAACTGCCAGGACTCCAGGGTCCCGCCCGGCTGACACTTGAGGACTCCACCTTGAAGTCTGTTTCTTCACAGGCTTGCCAGGCTTTCACACAAAACTTCCTTACCACTTGGTTTCCACCGTTTCAAGTGGTTTTAGCATATTTCTAAGGGCAGTCTGAGGTTTCCCCCTCTCTCCTATCCCTCAAAGACTGTTTCTCGTTTCATTGGTGTAGAACACTTGGCCAAACTGGTGGCTGCCAGGGTTTAAAATGGAATCACTGGCCTGGTGAAGATATGGCCTTTGAGTAACCTAGACCAGGGCACATTTGCCTGTTTTTCATTGCCAATGTTAACCAAATAGAAATATAATTGTTAGTTCTTCTATAGATCTACTTAAACCTTGAAACATGAGATTGTTCAAATAATTACACAAGAAAGTCACCCATCACCGTTAAGTTAAAGTCTTGAATATCTGAGAGCTTTAGAGCCTCGAATTCCTATTACAGTCACTGATCCACAGCATTTTTCTCTTGTCAATGGATTCCATGCAAAAGTAGCCCGGTCTTGCAGTATATTTGTGCACCAAAAAGTTGATTTAGAAAGATTCAGCTCTAGTCATCACTGTCACTCCCAGATTCACTCAACTGCAAGTCATTTCCTATAAAAAGAAAACAGAATCAAACCAAAAGTACATAATTTAAGTGACTTTCCCACAATTCTTTGGTTGACTGCCTTTGCTATCACACTATAGCAAAGCAAAGCCAATTCGATTTAACTCATTTAGAAGAGATGTTATCTGCAAAATAATTCTGCTTACTGAGATAGAACAGGGGAGGAGTAGGCTAGACAGCTTTAAAATGTGTTAATACTAAGAAAATATTGTATTTCTAAATAACTGACTCATTGTATAGAATTTTTCACATTAAGTTGCTTTATAAAAGCTAATACCAGATTAGGCTTCTCACTAAGGCAGCGGGACACTTTTTATAGCTATAACATGCTAATCCAATTCCCCTCTGGTACACCTCTGTCCAGGTTATTCATGTTACTTTAAACCTGAAACCTTTACTTATGAGTGTTGTAAAGCCTCATATTTGTGTTTGGTGTGCAGAATTTAGATTTATATAAGCACTCAACATTTCCATCTAATAAGAGAATAACAGGTGCCCAGCTGATACAGATTGGATTACAACAGAAGTGAACTTCTGTGTTTCTGGATTGCTAATCTCTAAACCATTTCTCCTCCAAGTTTGTTCTGAGGACTCTGTGGTCCTTCTTCTTTTAACTACACACCTAATGTCAGATTTTTTTTTCACATACTTCACTCTACACAACTAATAACAACTGTGTGGGTGCAGCCATCTTTCTACTAAGCCAGACATTAAAGAGATTTGCAAAAATTTTTTAAATATATTTTTATTTCAGAGAGGGAGATAGAGGGCGAGAGAGATAGAAACATCAATGATGAGAGAGAATCACTGATTGGCTAGCTCCTGCACATCCCCTACTGGGGATTGAGCCTACCACCTGGGCTTGTGCCCTTGACCAGAATCGAAACCAGGACCCTTCAGTCCTCAGGCCGATGCTCTATCCACTGAGCCAAATTGTCTAGGGCAGATTTGCAAAATTTTAAAGCAATGTTACCTTCTTACTATTTTTTTATTTAGTGCTAATTTTTTTTTTTTTTTTTTTTACTTTTTGATAATTTATTCCTTTCTGTTCCAAATTATCTTTGTCAGGATCCTTTCTTATACCTTACATATCTTCAGGATTATAGATTCTGACCTAAGAAAAATAGAAGCTGCATCTCTGGCCTGACAGACCACCTACTTGGCCAGAAAAGGGGAAGCACACTTACTGAGGGTGTTCATGAGCTGGTTGCTCCCCTGTGGCCGACTGGTTCCGTTGACAAGGGCAGGCCTGCTGTTGTAGGGCTGCTGGTGTGCAGGCTGGGGGGGAGAGGTAGGGCCGTTGTCCTCGCCTCCGCTGCTGGAGCTGTCATCATCGCTTCCCGAGGAGCTCTCAGAGTCTGAGGAGCTGCTCCCACTGCTGCTGCTCATCTGCTCAATAATGTCCACCTCAGCCCTCAGCTCTGGAATAAAACGGCACACGTGTCAATACAACCACCACTCTCAAGGCAGCACATTGAGTCTTCTGTAAATAGTAAACCGGCAAAACCAACAGCAACGAGGAATAACTTAAACGAACTCCTGCTTCTCAATTCCTTAAAAATGTACAAAATGATCTAAACAAAAATACCTAACCTGTCTTCAGAGAGACAATGGAAACATTAAATTCACCCCAAATAACCAAAAAGCAAACTGCTTCAGGATGATGACTGTTGTATTTTGTCTTTATCTACTAAGAAAAGAATTGTGAATTATTTAAACACCAAATAAGAGCCTCCTGTACACCCCTTATGCTAAGGGATTGAAAAATATTTAACGAGGAATTGGAAGGTCTGAGTGCTTGTTTTGGATCTAACCAGCAGGGAGACCCAAGTGGAAGCCAATGAATTTTCCAAGAGACTCCGGAAAAATGCAGGGCCAGAACAGACAAGATCTGGGGTGCTTTCCAGTTTTCATGTCCCAGAATAAATGGAAGCTTGCAGGAGGAACCACAGCGACTGAAGACACATGCTGGAACATTCCTCCTCTGCCCTCTTTCCATATTTGACTGGCAGTCCTGCCTGTCAGGTACTGCATTTTTACAGATGTAAACCAGGGAAGGGAAAATATGTTTTACTCAACATGTCAATGTCCCTGGATACATTAAGGATATATAATAGATTTTCCTGTCCAAACATACCATGTGGCCTTAAATGGCTATGGTTCCTTAAAGAATAACTGGGAACAATTCCTGTTCAACTAAAGTGAAAACTTCCATAAATGACATTCCAATATTCATGAGGGGGAAAAAGTCAAGTGGCTTAACTGTGCACCATGCACAGACTGATTTTGTTTTGCTAAAAGAGAGCTGATCTATAAGGTGGAAAAGGCAAACCTCCAAGGACAACTCTATCTTTCCCTGTTCACTACTGTTATCTATTTAATTTCATTTCCTAAAATATGCCACTTACCCGCATAACTTCCCAACAGTCTGAACAACTAACGAGATCCATTGCATAGCAGAGAAAGCAAGGTGCCGAGCCGAAACCAGTTTGGCTCAGTGGTAGAACGTTGGTCTGAGGACTGAAAGGTCCCAGGTTCGATTCCAGTCAAGGGCATGTACATTGGTTGCGGGCACATCCCGGTAGGGGTTGTGCAAGAGGCAGCTGGTTGATGTTTCTCTCTCATCAACGTTTCTAGCTCTCTATCCCTCTTTCCTCCTCTCTGTAAAAAATCAATAAAATATATTTTAAAAAAAAGAAAAAAAAAAGAAAGCAAGGTGCCAAAACCGGTTTGGCTCAATGGATAGAGCGTTGGCTTGGGGACTGAAGGGTCTCAGGTTCGATTCCGGTCAAGGGCATGTACCTTGGTTGCGGGCACATCCCCAGTAGGGTGTGTGCAAGAGGCAGCTAATCAATGACTCTCTCTCATCAATGTTTCTAACTATCTCTCTCCCTTCCTCTCTGTACAAAATCAATAAAATATATTTTAAAAAAAAAAAAAGAAGAAGAGGAGAAATCAAGGTAAGCAAGCTTTTTTCTCAGGTATGTAATGGAGAGCGCCTCACCAGACCCCTCTTTTTAGGCCACTGTCCATTTCCAAGGTCCTCATGGCACTTTCATATACACTTTATGTATATAAACTTTATGCTAGTAGAAAGTACTGGTCATGGGAATGTTAAGTCCCTCTAGGCTAGATAGTATACTAACGCTGGCACACCTGGTTTTCAGCCCTAGCACCTAGGAATTTTCTTCTTCTGAAGCCTTGAAGGTGTGCCACAGGCCCTCTTGTTTAAATCCTGGGCCTCTCCGCAGAATGCTGTGAAGACAGCCGCAACTCAAGTCTCTCTGCCTGGACGCCCCCTGACAAATGAGGTGAGAAAGCCCCCACCCTCATCGCTCTGGAATAGTGAACTCTATAATGGCAGAGAATGCCCACGCCATCATGTCAATACGGCAGCCTGTGCTCTCCACAGAAACATCACCATACTACTCCAAGGTGCTACTGTGCCTCCAAAAAATGCCTTCTACCTCTTTTGATGTCATCCAGCTGAGGTTCAGGTGAAGGGTTATCTTTCACGGGAGAAGTTTTGGGTCCAACTGGAGGCTTTGTTGGAGCTCTGAATGGCATAGGTGGTGGAGGCGGTGGCGGCTGTGATTGCTGTGGGGGGCGAGTGGGCTGCTGTTCCATTCGGGCTTGGATTTTACTGCTCCCCTCAGCCCTGAAATGAGATACAGACATTAAATCAAAGGGACAAAGCCAGTGGTTCTCAAATTCGTCAGGTGGCTGACCACCTAGAAGTCTCTACAGAATTCCATGCCTTTTAGATTGCTGCAAAATATTGCTGTTTATAATTTTATCACATGAACTAATCATTCAAAACCCATCTATTGTATTCTAGTATTGCATTATGCACCAGAGATAGAGATGAATACAATAGACCCACTACTCTCAAGGAATTCACGTTTTATAGCAAGAAGCAGATAAAATTACAATGTGATTGTAAGAATCCATTTTTTTAATGTATTTTTTTTATTGATTTCAGAGAGGACGGGAGAGGGAAAGATAGAAACATCAATGATGAGAGAGAATCATTGATAGGCTGCATCCTGCACGCCCCCTACTGGGAATCAAGGCCACAACCTGGACATATTGCCCTTGACCAGAACTGAACCCAGGACTCTTCAGTCTGCAGGCCGACACTCTATCCACTACGCCAAACCAGCTAGGGCAAGGACCCATCTATATATATATATATATATATATATATATATATATATATAAAACCCTAATATGCAAATAGACCAAACAGCAGAACAACCAAACAAATGGTCATTATGACATGTGCTGACCACCAGGGGGCATGCGCAGAACATGGCAGGCGTCAGCAGCAGGCGAGCAGGGGTTCCAGACCAATGTGGGGTACCGGTCACTGTCATCGGGGTGAGCCTCTGATGGTTACTGAAAATTCTTTGCTTTCACACGCCATGGTCCAGCCTAGAGCTTGCACCTACTGCCTGCACCAGCCCCGATTGCTTGTGAAAGTGGGTTCGAGCGGCACCTGCTGGCCCCAGTCACCCCTGAGGGTTTCTCCACCTCCCCCTGCTCCTGAAGGAGTGATTAGGGCAGCAGCTGCTGCTTGCACCTGCTGACAGCACCAGCCCCAATTGCTCTGCGCCATCAGCGCTTGGGAGCAATGGCAGCATGAGCAGGGCTGCTGGCAGACAGGGGGTCGGGGGCCACAGTGGGAGGGGCAGAGGCATGGAGGATGGGCCAAGACCCACTCCTGTGCCCACTGCAGCCTTGTGGCCCACAGTTCCTTTCAAGGTGCACAAAAAACTAGGGGCCCAGTTTCTATTAAAACTGGGCCCCTAGTTTTAATAGAAAATATTACTGTTTGATTTGTAAACACTATAAAGTAATAATCATAAGTGTATGAGTTATAAAATAAAACTAGCTCTTGAAATACTTGCAAACTTTTCCAGTATCTATGTACTGCTTACTCATTTTCTCACATACCAGCTCTAGCTGGCAGACAAGCTGGCAGTATTCCACCCCAAACTGAGAAAATTCTGTCCATTAACATTGTCTTTTGTAAATGCACTAGCCTAGCACTTTTCAAACTTTAGTGTGCACACAACCATCTAGGGGTCTCACTGAAATGTTGATTCTTACTTATCAGGTCCTGAAATTCTGCACTTTCAGCGAGTATCCAAGTGACAAATGCTGCTAGTCCTCAGATGACACCGAAGAGCGAGAGAAATGCTCACAACTACATTAGAGTAACAGCAGCATCTGGTTCGCGGAGGCAATTAATACACACACACTGAGCAGCTCTGCAGCACAGAGCCCCAGCCTCGGGTAAGTCAATCTCACGTATCCTCGGTCTCTTCGTCTGTGTGTATGTGGTTTTTAAGGATAATAATAACACCTTTCTAAGAATCGATTACAGAGGAGAAAAGATAATGCCATAAAGCAACTAGCATAGTTCCTGGCATATAATCACTCCTTAATAAATGGCAGCTACTCTTTATTATTTGTGAAACAAGTTAAGAAAATGATTGTTTTCACACTACTAAAGAGTATATATTATTCAATTATCCTTTCATAATTATAAGTATATAAATTTAAGTTTTATCCCTTAAGTGGTACTGTTTCAAAAATTATGAGATTAATAAAATCAACTAACTTATAAAATACACCTCTTTACTCAATGGCTTTCACCTTGCAGATTTTAAAAGCATTATTTCTTTCTACTACATTTGAGGAAAAGATATTTTATGGATTTGTCTGAGAAGGCATAGGTGGAGTTATTGAGATTATCAACAGGAGACTGAATGCCCAGATACTCACAATCTTATAAATAACCAAATAGATAACACAAATGCAAACTCACATCACTCTGTCACATACCTTGTTTTCTTGACCTGAATGCTGCTACTGAGTTTTTCCAGCACATATTCACCAGTGTCATGATTAATAATAAGCACACAGTCTTTCTGATAAGGCCGTTTGTTCCCCTTGAACACAGTCATTGGTGGTGTGGATCCCTATATGGCACAAAATGTATATGATCAAAACTAAACACACCAGTATAAATATAAAAAATAAATTTACAGGTGACTCTACCTCATCAAATCTTTTATCAGAGACTCAAAAAGAACTCCTGGTTTCCCAGGTAAAAATAAAAGGGAAATAATATAGCAAGAACTTATGTCTGTAACTGGTTCTAAGTAATAAAGAAAGGTAATATAAATGTTTTAAATTACTGTATGTACACTGTTCTAGGGATTTGGGAAATGTTACAAATAATAGTAAAGTGTGAAATGATGGGGGAAAAATTAACCATTACTTGTATTACACTGAGAAGAGCTAGTGAAAGATCTCTAGTCCTGCCTCATAATTGGAGAGTTCATGGCTTCCCCGTCATGCCAAGTAACCAACAGAGCATCTCAAAGGGCAGCCCATTTTTCTGGTTAGCTCAGAGTAAGTACATCCTGCCACTCACCTGCCGAGGCCCTTTGATCACTACCCCATTGCTCTGAGGTCAAGTAATTAAATCTTTAAATCATCTAGCTCCTCAGCCTCACCAGCACCACTCAGCCATGTGCTATGCACACTCCAGAGCAGAAGGCAGCTGGCATTCCCTGAGATCTTGTCTCTCTTATTTTTACCACTTTAACAAGGCCTGTGTCCTCTCACAATCCGGGACCCCTCAGGGGATGCTGAAGAGCTGGTTTTGGCCCGATGACGGAACGACCAGTCACTATGATTCACACTGACCACCAAAGGGCAGATGCTCGACTCGGGAGCTGGTGATCAGTGTGCTCCCTCAGGGGGAACGCTGCTCAGCCAGAAGCCGGGCTCACAGCTTGGGCTGGTGAGAGCAGCAGCAGTGGCAGGAGCCTCTCCCACCTCTGCAGCAGTGCTAAGGATGTCTGACTCCCAGCTTAGGGGGCAGCCCCCAAGGGCTCTGGGACTGTGAGCGGGCACACGCCAGGCTGAGGGGACCTCCCCCACACACACACTGAGTGCACAAACTTTGTGCACCTGGCCTCTAGTATTACATGAAAGATTTAAGTCCTGCTCCTGCCCACCTTGAGTCATGGCTTGGCAGCTCCACACTCCTAAACTGGTGTTGCTGTACATTAACATGGAACCTATGGCCTTTCTGTGGAGCTGCTTGGGAAAAAGCTATGCCTGACTAAAAGAGGGGCTAGATATCCAGGTAGGGTCTTTGTCTACTCCACAGTAAAAGGGAGCCTGGGTAAATGACAAAAAAATCATTTCTAATGAAGCACCCGGGGTGGATGCATTCTACTCAAACCCATATCCCGAATTTCTTTTTTCCTTATGCTGACATTTTCAAACATAGGTAATTCAAATTACAATAATGTAAAACAGGAGAATTTATTGAAAACAACAACAATGTAAAACACTTACAGGGATATGTGGCAGTGTAATTGTGACTTCATCTCCTTTGCCAACCTGAAGCTCTCCTTCACAGGAGGTATCTATAGATGCTGGCTTAAAATCATCTAAAGGGAAAGGGGGGGGGAAAGCATTGATCCATCAGGTTACTTATACTAAGGGTTTTCTAGGCATTCTCATTTAAGAATTATTCAGATAAATGGAAAATACAAAGAGTTTAGAATATTAAAAAAACAACAACACTATTCCTTTGTGAAAAACTTCTAATATACAAAAACAAAGAGAATGGTGTAATAAACCTCTGTGTACCATCATTACTCAGCCTCAGTAATTACCAACTCCGGACAATCTTATTTCATCTATTCCTCTGCATACTTTTCCTTCCACGCCAACTGGATTATTCTCAAGGGGGGGGGGGGGGGGGGGGGGGGGAAAGCTAGAATTTATGTACCATTTAATTAAGCACAGATAGCCAAAACCGGTTTGGCTCAGTGGTAGAGCGTCGGTCTGCGGACTGAAGGGTCCCAGGTTCGATTCCGGTCAAGGGCATGTACCTGGGTTGCGGGCACATCCCCAGTGGGGGGTGTGCAAGAGGCAGCTGGTGGATGTTTCTCTCTCATCCACGTTTCTAGCTCTCTATCTCTCTCCCTTCCTCTCTGTGAAAAATCAATAAAATATATTAAAAAAAAAATAATTAAGCACAGATAATCCCTTCTCCCCAGTGACAGATGAAAATGAATGCTTATTATCATTATAAAGTGCTTTGTTAGGTTATTGTGAGGATCAAAAGCAACAACATATTAAGATTCTGTGACTATAAAACCCTAAGCTGCATCATATAAGCTGATTTCATTTTGCATAGGAACTGTCAAAATTATCATTTGCAAAGGCAAGTTCCAAAGCTTTAACATAAGATACTCCTGCAGATGTTCAGAGTCTACAGCTGAACTTGATCTCTAAAGGTTAATCCTGCCCCTACTTCTGAGTTGCAACTGCAGTACAACAAAAAGAAATCTTACTCCACTTCATTTATTTTTAAATATATATATTTTATTGATTTTTTACAGAGGAAGAGAGAGGGATAGAGAGTTAGAAACATCGATGAAAGAGAAACATGGATCAGCTGCCTGCTGCACACACCCCACTGAGGAAGTGCCCGCAACCAAGGTACAATGTCCTTGACGGGAATCGAACTCAGGACCTTTCAGTCCGCAGGCTGAAGCTCTATCCACTGAGCCGAATCAGGTTAAGCATCTTACTCCATTTTAACACACGCCTGCCTCAAACTGCAGGCCAGGTGCCTGTGAGACGTGTCTCTTTTACATTTCACATTGCCCTTCACCCTCCTAAAACAACTTAGTACACTGCTCAAGAGATGATGGTCTTATCACGTTCCCAATATCCTCCCTCTGAGAAAGCTGCTCTGCTGTCAGCAGTGAGCACAGCAATGGCCTGCAAGTGACCACACAAAGATAGAGCCTCATTACCTGACACACCCTTTTCCCCATGTGTTGAGTCACATCAATTAGATCCTTAGACAAAAACAAGTCTTAACTAGCATTAGCATTACGAGACAGGAAACTGAGGAGCTAGTGAATCACAGAGGGACGCTCAGTCAGCCAATTACTTAAAAGCCCAATCTTTACCCAGGACATGGGAAAGAAAGAGTGGGAGTGCCCTCGCTCCTCAAAGGGAGGAGGGAAAGGATGGTCCAGCATAATGACTATTATTTCGACATTCTCTAGGCCTGCTGTCTTCTGCTTCCAAGCATAGACCAAGGTTTAACTTGATCCAGGCTCACACATTCGAATGTTATTCTTCACCTACAAGGGACTTGGTCCTGAGTTAAAGTCAGGAAAGCATGAGTGCCCTCAAAAGACATCCATGTCAAAGGAGGTGCGGATAGCTGGAGGAGGAAGACTCTGAAAGGGCGCAGGGAGGATGCGCATTATTTGGCTGCAAGAGGGAATGGAGCGCAGTGTCTCAGGGTGCCCAGAGCAAAGACGGGCGAGGGGAGAAAGCCCGAGGAAAAGGGGGAAAAAGAGAATGAAACAGCAGGGGGTGGGAGGCTCATGAGCAAACAGAAGAACCCTTTAAACGTGGAGAACTCGGGGTGGGGGTGGGGGGTAATCAGAAAGGGGGTGGATTAGAGGAAGAACTGGAGTTTGATGTAGGGTCAGAGCCTTTCGGGAGTAAAGAGGGGGAGAGATTTGGCACAAAGGAAGGGCTGGCTGGAGAGATGAAAGGAGAGAGGGGTCAATGCACTTCGGAAGAAGCGTTTGGGGCCACGAGACAGAAGAATGGTTAGGAGTGACGAAGGGTTTGGTTTGGGAAGGGTTAGCTGGTGAGGAGCGGGAGGGAGAAGGGAGAGGGTTCAGGGGTAAGAGAGGAGGGAGCTGACGTAGGTAGGGGGTTCCCCGCACTTTGGAGGCCAAGGATGGCAAGAGGCGGCCGGGGAGGCCGGAGGGAGCCGTGGGGAGCGCCGACTTACAGCGAATGGTGTGGAAGGAGGCTCGCGGTCGCTTTTCGAAGCTCTCCCCGAGCCGCAGGCAGTGCTCCTCGCGGTCCAGCAGCGGGTTCGCGGTCCCGTTCATGGCCCCGCACGGGCCTCGCGCCCGAACAGGCGCTCCGCCGGCGCCGCGGCCACCGTACGCGCTTCCGGCGCCGGCTTTCTGGAGAGCGGTGCTCCCGGGACACCGCTCCGCAGCGCACCGGGGTTCCAATCGGCGCCCACCCGGGGCCGGAAGCGAGTCTCCGCCGCGTCGGGTTGGGGGAAGCCCCTGCGGAAGCAAGGCCACGGGACTTCCGGCGTCGGGGAGATACTTCCGGGTCCGTAGCGGAAGTGGCGGCGGCGGTGCCATGGCAATAGAATTCCGCCGGGATCCTGAGGTCCTCGGCGCTGGTTTGTCCAGGCTCAGGGTTTTTTTTTTTTTTTTTTTCCCCGCAGCGACTTCCAAATTCTGTTTCCTGGGCCTGGGCCCGGCTGAGGGCTGAGTGCGCCCGGCCCTACCCCTCCAGGTGAAGCTAGAAACTGATGACGGTGAGCCCAGGGCGCCGCGAGCTAGATCCACGCGGGTCTGACAGCCAGTGTGACCGGCTCGCCGCAGGCCCTAGCGGCCGGGGCCGCCTCGCTTAGCTCGAGTCTCACGAGACAGATGGGAATCCTATGCCACGACTCACTCGGTCTCTTCCTCTCCTTCGTGCCGTGTTCTTGGTGCGAGGGCCTCAGCCCCCCGGGCGTAGCTCTTTCAAAGCTGGGTCTCCGATCCTTGGGAAACGATGATCTCACTAATGTCTGGCAATGGACCACCCTCATCCAGTCCGGGGAGTTGTGGCGGTTGTTGTTAAGTCACTCCTTAAGTCACCCCAAAAATTAATGAGTATTTTCTCACCAGTGTTTCTCGGTCAGTCCTTGGGAGTGTCCTTTTTCTGAACTAAACCGATTTCTTTTAATAGATGAGTTCTTCTGGTTTGAGTTTGAGTTCTGTGTGTGAGAGAGCCGTGAGCCACTAAATGTAAGCCCTCTGATGGCGGGGACTTTGTCTTGAGCTTCTTTGTGACCTCTCTATGGCAGGCAGGGTTTTGTGTAGAGTCAGCCCCAGTAAATGTGTGGTGAATTGAACAGTGTGGTGAAAGATCTGTTCTAGAACCACTAACTCCGCCTCGCAAGGAGCTGTTCTGGAACCACTAACCATAATCTCATTCTTTTTTCCTGCAAAATAGAAATGTCACCAGAGTCTTGAACCTGAAGAACCACATCTGAGAAAACCCTGCCTATGTCTGCAGAGTAAGCTTGGATTCTTCACGTTGTTCTGGGATGGAGAGCCTTCAGCAGTGTTAAATACGTGACCGTCAGCTTAGGAGATGGCATCTTTGCAAAGGAAGGGGCTGCAAGCGAGGATTCTCAGCTCCGAAGAAGAGGAGAAACTGAAAAGGGACCACACTTTAGTATCAGATTTTAAACAACAAAAACTGGAAAAAGAGGCTCAGAAGAACTGGGATCTTTTTTACAAAAGAAATAGTACTAATTTCTTCAAAGATAGACACTGGACCACCAGAGAGTTTGAGGAGCTCAGATCATGTAGGGAGGTAATGTTACACCTTATTTGAACTGTTGTTTCTTTATTTAAAATTTTTTAAAAATTTATTTTAGAGAGAGGAAGGGAGAGAGAGAAACATCAATCGGTTGCTTCCTGAATGTGCCCTGACTGGGAATCTAACCCACTACCTGGGTATATGCCCTGACTGGGAATTAAACCTGCCATCTTTCCGGGTACGGGGCAATGTTCCAGCCAGGCCACACCAGCCAGGACTGAGCTATTCTTCATTTAAAATGTGTGGAAAAAGAGCGTTTTGTTGCATTTTTATGGAAGTGAGGTACATAATTGATGAAGCCTGTCAGAATATTTTATACCTTAGAAAGAGGTAGACTGGTCTCAAGTAGTTTTAACAATTCATGGATTGTATAATACATAGGAGAGAGCTTTAGTGGGCATTTTTGTTTCTTTAAAGCTAATCTGAAAATTGTTAAATGTTAAATTCATATTGAAGAACTTCAGTGACAGATTCATAATGATGATGATCCCTTGACCATGCCCTTTTCTAGAACTTTACACCTGTGATTTAAGCCTGTAATAGCCCTGGGAAGCAGGCGTTAGTGTTAACCCCACTTACTGATGAAATTAGGGAACAAAGCCATTTAACTGATCAGTCCGGAGATAGGAAACAGACGTGAGGGAGAAGTCTCGATTGAGCTGTTAATGCTGTGTTTTCTCCACACCAAACTGTCCAATGTTGATCAACAAATGGAGATGTCAGTATTAGCTTTTGGTTTCGATTTATTTATTGCCTCTGAGGGCAGAGATCGTGTCTTGCATGTTCTGGACCTTTTAGTTTGGTTTATTTCTTCTTTATGCAAACTCAGTGTTCTCTAACTTCTGGTTCTCCTTACTCAGTTTGAAGATCAAAAATTGACTGTGCTTGAAGCTGGCTGTGGGGTTGGGAACTGTTTATTCCCACTTTTAGAAGATCTGAATATCTTTGCTTATGCCTGTGATTTTTCTCCAAGAGCGGTTGAATATGTCCAGGTTGGTGCACCATTCATGTATTCTCTTACGTTTCTGGTGTTTTAAATTTGTTTAACATGCCCTTTATACCCATTTGCCCAATTTCTGTTCTCTCCCTGAAGTTGACCAGCTATGATAATAAAAAATGTAGTTTTCCATTTACATACATATATAATATTTATAGAAAGACAGCTTTATTTAGAAAAGTAGAAAGAAATACCATAACGACACCCATATACTTATACCAAATTTTAAAAAAATATTTTTTATTGATTTTAGAGAAAGAGAAAGGGAGAGGGATAGAGAGAAACATTGATGACAGAGAAGCATCGATTGATCAGCTGCCTCCTACTAGGGATGAAGCCCACAACCTGGGCCTGTGCCGTGACCAAGAATCAAACTGGGGACCTCTTGGTTCAACCACTGAGCAACACGAGCCAAGCTACTTAAACCAAATTTAATGATTGCAAGCATTTTGTGGAATTTGTTTTAGACTCTTTTTGTGTGTGACCTGTTTTAAATTACAAATATTTCACTGTTAAACGTTTGCATACATCTTTAATAAGGATTTTCTCTATATGACCATAAAACACATGTATAACAAATATAACTCTAATCCCTTAATGTCATTAATACCCAATCCAGATTCAGATTTCCCCAGATAATCCAGGTGTTTTTTATAGCTATATTTAATCAAGGACTACATCTTATGTTTCATTATATACCTTAAATCTCCTTAGGCCAAAACCATGTTCAGCAAACTGCGGCTCTCGGGCCACACGTGGCTCTTTGGCCCCTTGAGTGTGGCTCTTCCACAAAATACCACAGCCTGGGCGAGCTTATTTTGAAGAAGTGGCATTAGAGGAAGTTTAAGTTTAGCCGAAACCGGTTTGGCTCAGTCTGCGGACTGAAAGGTCCCAGGTTCGATTTCGGTCAAGGGCATATACATTGGTTGCGGGCACATCCCTGGTGGGGGGTGTGCAGGAGGCAGCTGGACGATGTATCTCTCTCATCGATGTTTCTAGCTCTCTATCCCTCTCCCTTCCTCTCTGTGAAAAATCAATAAATATATAAAAAATAAAAAGTAAAATAAAAAAAGTTTAAAAAATTTGGCTCTCAAAAGAAATTTTAATCCTTATACTGTTAATATTTGTCTCTGTTGACTAATGAGTTTGCCGACCACTGGCCTAAAACATTCCTGCCCTTCCCTTTGACCCTTTTCCGCACTGACATTGAGCTTTTGGAAAATGAGCCATTTTCTGTAATGAGGTCCCACATTCCAAAATGTTTCTTTGTGTCATTGTTTAACTTGTTCCTCTTTCCCAGGATCTATTTGTTCCTATTCTCAAACCACATTATGTTAGTATACTACACTTCTCCTTCATTAGACTTCATTTTTAAAAGTTGACTTGGCTATTCCTAAAGATTTTCACTTTCAGATTGGTCATTTAACTTGTCAAGTTTCTAGAAGTTTTCTAGGATTCAGTAGAGATTTCACAGGATTTGTAAGTGGAATGATAGGTAGAATTGGCATCTTTTCAAAATTGAATCTTTCCATTCAGTAACTGTGTAGGTCTTTCTATTTATTCAGGTCCTTATTTACTTGTAAGCAGAGTTTTATATTTTTCTTTATAACACACTTGAAAATGTGTTAAACCCAGCAACCAAAGTACACCAGGAACACAATTGCAGTAAAAAGAATTCAGGTTTATTTAGCTTGCTGCATCAAGGTATACAAGGAGAGCTGTAGGAGCTGGAAAAACTTCTTGTAAGTTTAATTTTATAGTGGATGATTCACTCAGAGGAGGATTAAGGAAGCAGAGACCAGTTTTGGATTATTGTTCCTCTGGAAGTATACGCTTCTAAAATGCTCAGTTTTGAATATGTGATAGGCTGTACTCTCTCCTCAATTAAAAATGATTTGTTAAAATGAAATCTTGCCCCTCATATTGAATATTCCATTCTTTAACATGCAAATGGCTCATTACTCAGTTTTACCCATAACGAAGTGATTGGTGATCTCTGTGCAGTAGTAAACAAGTGGAAACACGATCTCCTTTTGAGGCTGTATTTTTCTATATGAATCAACATGGATATTGCATTAGAATTCATGTGTGCTTTTCCTCTCTTTAGCAAAATCCTTTATATGACACAGAAAGATGCAAGGTATTCCAGTGCGATCTAACTAAAGATGACCTTACGGAACATGTGCCCCCCGAGTCTGTGGATGTTGTCATGTTGATATTTGTGCTCTCTGCTGTTCACCCTGATAAGATGCATCTTGTCTTACAAAACATTTACAAGGTTAGTAACTTGGAGTCTGCACTTTTGGGGTTGGATATCCCAGTCTTCTTGCTTACCTTCTCTCTGAGGCTCATGTACCATCTATATTCAAGAGCCCCCATTTGTCAATAGGTAGGCTTTGTTTGAAAAGATTCTGGGTAAAAATCATCCACCCTAAACTTTGATTTGTCTGGTGGCCATCACTGCTCTTCAGAGCTTGGCCAGCCTTGGAGCAAGGATGATTTTTACCTGGGATCTAGGGAGAGGAAGTGTGTTTCATTGATCAGGAGTCACAGTGTCTAGAGTCAAAATATGGCTTCCCTATTTAGATAAGTTCCTTTATTTCTCTGAGCCTCAGTTTTATTACCTGTAGAAATTTTGAGATAATACTTAACTAGATACATGAACTAGTATAAAGTGCTTAGCACGATGTCTAGAACATAATAAGTGTTCTTTAAAAGTCGGCCATTGTTGTTGTTACTGCCATTGTTGCTATCCAAATGGGGAGAACC